CAGTAACCTTCTGATGAGGTGAGAAACTAGGGCGGCCTGTTCGGTCCCGCTTCTATCGAAAGTGCGGATTGACTTGCTGGACATCACAAACTAAACGCTCGAAGACATGACGCCTCATCCGGAAGCGACGTCTGAAATCATCTTCTGTGTACACCGAGTTGGGGTCAAAGTAGTTATTCATCAGATTGGCATGCGTCATTGCTTTGTTTCATGGTTCGTAAGAGTGACCAGCAATAGAGCCACCCCATTGAGGTTGTTCCTCAGTTAGCTGACACATCATGGCCACAGCCATGGCTGCTGCTATGTTTTGTTTGTTGCTCCTTACTTGAACTTCTTCATCAGATTCCTCATCTTCTCATCTCATTTGCGCCCATTTTGCTTCTATTTTGGAATTGGATGAGGACCCCCAATTGGAATATGAAGAGGATCCAAAGTTGGAATTCATTGCAAACTTGAATTGAAAAAGATTGAATTTAAATAGATTGAATTCAAAGTTGTGTGAATTATATCCCAATCTCCACCCTATTTATAGCAAAAAAAAATTCAAATCCAATGGCTAGCTGACATCAGCATGATGTCAGCTACCAACGGCTAGCTGACGTCACTTAGCCGTTGGATTTGAATTTAAGTTGTAGTTTTTAAATAATAAATTATGTTTGGCCCTATGACCCTTTGGCCCTCGGTTGGAGATGGTTTTTTGTGAAAATGCTAAAACGAACCCTCTGGCCCTTGGTTGGAGACAGAGGCAAATATGGCCCTGTACTGTTCATTAAAATATTAATATCTTGGAGAATCTTGGAGGGCCAGAGGGCTAAAACGAGCCACTGGCCAACCATCCGAAGGGTCCAGAGGGCCAGAGGGCCGAAAATAGCCCGAAAATCGTCTCCAATCGAGGGTTAGGCCAAAGGGCTTTGGAATCAAGGAGGGCCACACGGGATCAGAGAGGGCTAAAGGGCTGGAGGGCTGGCTATTTTTTTTTAATGCTTTGTTATTTCTGTCGGTTATAGCCGACAGAAATAATATATACTATATTATTAGTGTCGGTTATAACCGACACTAATAGCAATGTTAATATAATATCAGTTTTAACAGTGTCGATTAAAACCGACACTAATTTGAATTCTAATTTGAATTCAAACGGCTAGCCAGTCACTAGCCGTTGTATTCAAATTTTTTTTTTTTTTTATGAATTTAAACCTTTTTTTTCTTTCTATAACTTCCTATAACTTTTTTTCTATAACTTATATTTTACAAAATTTGGTTCATATTTTTTTAAAATTCCATTTTTTTCCTATAACTTCTATTTCACAAAATTTGTTTCATATATTTTTTTTTAAATTCCATTTTTTTCCTATAACTTCTATTTCACAATATTTGTTTTATATTCCATTTTTTCTCCTATAACTTCTATTTCACAAAATTTATTTCATATTTTTTAAATTCCATGTTTTTCCTATAACTTATATTTCACAAAATTTATTTTATATTTATTTTATATTCCATTTTTTTCCTATAACTTCTATTTCACAAAATTTGTTTCATATTTTTTTTTAAATTCCATTTTTTTTTTCCTATAACTTCTATTTCACAAAATTTGTTTCATATTTTTTTCCTATAACTTTCTAAGTCATTATACAACATTAAATTAAATTAAGTAACATGAAACAACATTAAACAATATGAAACAACATTAAATAACATTAACCAACATAAAAATTATACAAATAGAAACTTAAACAACATTTTAAAAAACATTTAAAAGCATAAAATGTAAATGCCTACTCCATGCTTCTTTGGGCCCAAAGATGTGCAACAAGATCTTGTTCTAGGTACTTGTTTGTGGCACGAGAACATATCATTCTATAACGCCTCATGTACTCATTTATAAAGATACTACCAGTTCTTGGATTGAAAGGCAAATTAGGCTTATCATATATTTTTGCACGAGCCCTTCTTAACCTATTTGGATCTTCCTGATCGTCATCGGACTCTCCATCAATATACCCATCTCGCTCATCCTCCACTATCATATCGTGTAATATGATGCAAGACATCATTATGTTTGGCCCTATGGCCCTCGGTTGGAGACGGTTTTTTGTGACAGGGCTAAAACGAGCCCTCTGGCCCTTGGTTGGAGACGGAGGTAAATATGGCTATGTACTGTTCATTAAAATATTAATATCTTGGAAAATCTTCGAGGGCCAGAGGGCTAAAATGAGCCCTCTGGCGAGCCATCGGTTGGAGATGACCTTAATATTTTAATGAACAGTACATTGCCATATTTGCCTCCGTCTTCAACCGAGGACCAGAGGGCTCGTTTTAGCCCTGTCACAAAAAATCGTCTCCAACCGTGAGCTAGAGGGCCATAAGGCCAAACATAAGTTATTATTTAAAAACTACAACTTAAAATAAAATGAAACAAATTTTGTGAAATAGAAGTTTTAGGAAAAAATGGAATTTAAAAAAAATATGAAACAAATTTGTAAAATAAACGTTATAGGAAAAAATAGAAGTTATATGAAAACTTTTGTAAATAAAAAATAATAATAAAACTGTAAAAAATAAAATAAAATCATGTCGGTTATAACCGACAGGAATACATTGATATTATTTAGTATAAATGTATTACTGTCGGTTATAACCAACAATAATACATTTATATTAAGTAATATAATGTATTCTTGTCGGCTATAACTGACAGAAATAACAAAACATTAAAAAAAAAATGGCCAGCCCCGGACTGGCTGGCTGGCTGCATGCAACCAGCCCTCCAGCCCTCTCCGATTCCATGGGGCCTTCCCAGATTCCAGAGCCCTCTGGCCTAGCCCTCGGTTGGAGACGGTTTTCGGGCTATTTTCGGCCCTCTGGCCATTTGGACCCTTTGGTTGGAGATGGCCTTATTGATTTGGGATACCCCTTAGAGATATATTTTCATGGCCCAACCATCAACACACTGAAAACATACTACTTGATAAGGACCTATCTTTCTTGTGGCCCTTATACCAAGAGGAGAATTATCTTCTCTCCTAATCTCACCATTATCTCCCTTCATACTTGAACAATTGCGATTGAGCCACGTAATCATTTTATATTGAACATTTTATGAGGACAAAAAGACACAAAGCAAAATGTGAGAGAAGGGAAATGAAGGGAATGAGAATAAAAGGGAATATTCCTACTCCCTTATACCAATTGAGTGGATTCACAAACTTGGGGAAAAAAGGCTACCACAACACTTGGATTCAGCCATCAATATAAAGAAAATGAGTCACTCACGTGTCATGCACGACTAACGTTAGCATTTCTTATAAACTTGTATATATTGGTGCAAAAACACCATCGACGGGTAGTGCAACACGACTAGCTGGGCGATCAGAAATCTCACAAGGGAATGGGCCATACTATATTTGGTTGCTATGCGGCTCATCTTGGTCATGTGCTTTCTCCAACTACACTCTACGTGTAATAAATTATTGACTAAAATTCTGAATCCGCTACAAACACGCAACAACAAGATCGTTGGCGTACCTCGTGGAGTAGTGAATTAATGTTGGGTTTTGCATTGGACCTCTGGCCTCTAGGTGACGTGCATGCATGGATATGTGATATGTGGACCACAAAGGAGCTGCTTTGGCATGCCGAGATCCGTTTGGTGCGTGACAAACTTCAATTATGCACTTGGTTTGGCTGCCTCACACCTCTCACGACAAACATTTACGAATATTATTATTAGCCCCATTAATATTTGTATTTATACTTACCCCCTCCCTTGCATGAATGAAAATATATACATGATTCCTTGGGTGTCTTGTCACAATAATCTTGAAAATACATACATGGCATGTCAATGGTAAAAAAAAGTACATTTGCCACGGCACGTCACATCACGTCGTCAATCCGTTATGGGTTATAAATATATTATATCACATATTATTTTCTTTCATGTTTTGTCTTCTTCTTTAAAGAGTGAGAATTTATACATAAAATATATTTTAAATATTGAAGAAATAAGTAGGAATTAACTTGGCTGAACAATTCAGCAGTCAAGTCTTGTTCAAATAACTATTAACATATTAAAATGTGACAGTTAATGTGTCAGCTAATTATTGATCACAAAATAGTTATTTGTCACCTAACTTATTTGTCACCTAATAATCACATACTATGATTCTCTCTTATCTTCTTTCCATCTCCTTCCATCATCTTCTCTCACATTCTCATATTTATTATTTCTATTGCTATAAAAAATTAATTTGTTGACGTGGCTTAACCGTGATCGTTCAAATAGAAGAGGAGTGAAGGAAAGAAAACAAAAAGAGGGGAGAGAATTCTACTCCAATAATCACTCGGAATTTTTGGTTGCACATGGAAGGCTAATTACATTGTACTCAGCAACAAATTTAAAAGTAAAAGGCACGTCAAATTCAATTTTAAATTCAAATCTCAGGCACGATAATTAATTAATAAAAGTAAAGAGTTACTAGACTTATCATATTATCTTATTTTTCCACCAATGTTATAATCTCACCCACCTTAAAAAGTAAAAAAATTAAAATGCTATTTTCTCACTCACTATTATTCCCAAAATAACCTTTAATATATATGTGCATATGAAATTATAAAATTGTCTCTTAAAAAATATAACAAATAATATATAAATGAAAACCACTAAGGTCTGCAATTCAAATGGAAACGACAGAGGTATCCAAATTCAAAAGAATTCGACAAGAACAAATTTAAAAATACGATGGACAAATTCAAATGACATACACACAAATTATTATTCTACATTTTCAATGGAAACATAATCTTCTAACTCTTCCATAGAAGCGTCATCTTCTAAGTTCATTGCTATTTTTTTACCTTCTCTCAATGAAAGGAGATGAAAATATAAGTTAGGGTTTAAGTTAGACAAATTGTCTCCCATGCCCAACCTAATTTTTTTTTAATTAAGCAAAACAAGATAATTAATGTCCTTATTAATCTTTTTGTAAATGGACAAATTTGTAATTAAAATTTTCATTAAAAGATGGGTGGGAAGATAAGATATTAGGATGGGAATAACATCACTCTAAAAGTAAAACGAACATAATATTTTTCTTTTTACTATTTACAAATACCAACGTGGAAAATACAAATCTGTAACTATATTAAGACAAACGAATTAATAATGTTAATAAGTTGCTCAAACCTCCCTAATTATAGTAGCTAAATCATCAGTTCTCCACATTAGCCGTAGTTAAACACCGAGCACTGCGACGACGGCCGCGACAGATCCGTTCCCGCGTTGGCCGGGCACGCCTCCATCCCCGCCGGCGGCACCATGCAGTTGTAACTTAAGCACAACGACACCGTATCGGGCAACATCGACCCGGGCTCCACCGCGAACCGGTAAATGTAATTGTGTTGCAGGTACAACGTTTTGGTGATCCCCACGTACACGCTCTTAACGTACTCCCTCGGTACCGTCCCGATCAGACGGTTGTTGTTCAAATACAAGCTCTCAACACCCGCCAGGATCGGCGACAGCTCACCCGTTATGACGTTGTGGCTCAAATCCACGATCGAACCCTCGCCGTACGATGGCGGCTGGGACCCTGCTGGCGGGACCCACCCGGAGAGATTGTTCCGTTGCAACAGGAGGGACTGGAGGTTCGTGCGGAACAGAGTTTGAGGGAGGGGCCCACCGAAACGGTTGGACCCGAGATCTAGGTGGACTAAATCGGCGAGCGAGTCGAAGACGGAGCCGATGGGGCCTGACATGTCGTTTTCAGAGAGCGACACGTAGCGGAGAGTCGTCGGGAGAGAAGGCGGCAACGGGCCGGTGAGGCCGTTGCGTTTTAAGTCCAGGTGAAGGAGCTGGGACGACACTTCGTAGGGGACCTCGCCGGAGAGGGAATTGGAGGCGAGGATGAGGACCTTGAGCTTGGGTAAACGGGTCAGACCAGGCGGAATTGGTCCGGCGAGGCGGTTGTAGCTGAGGTCGAGGGTGTGGAGGTTGGGGAGGAGAGAGAGGGACTGAGGTATCGGGCCGGTGAGGCGGTTGTTGGTGAGGGAGATGACTCGGAGGCTGGCGAGCCGGTCTAGCTGGAAGGGAATAGGACCGGTGACGATTCCGGGGAAGAGAATGAGCTGAGTCAACTCGGTGAGGTCGGCGATGGAGGGCGGGAGCGAACCAGCGAGACCAGGAGAGTCGGAAAGGCCGGTGCCGAGGGTGAGGGTGGTGACGCGGCCGGAGGCGCACGTGAGGCCGGTGAATGTGGAGCAGGGGTCGGGGGCGGAGAAGTTCCAGGTGGAGAAGAATGCGGCGGGGGAGCCGCGGCGGGAGGGGACGTCGGTGAAGGAGTTTTTTATGGCGATCAGGGCGCGGAGATCGACGGTGGAGATTTTGTGAGTTTGTTGGACGGAAGGAGTGAGGAGGAGTGAGAGGAGTAGTAGCGAGAGTGGGAGTGAGGAGTGAGAGTGTGGTTTGGCCATGGGTGACAAGAAAAAGACCGCCGAGAGTTAAAATTGGTGCGGGTTCGTGTAATATATGGTGGGAGTGTGAGATGATATAATATAACCGTTGGGTGGCGTAATATGGTATGGCCCCAACGCTATTTATTTGGGTCACCTTCTTGACTTTTTTTTTGTTTTTTGTTTTTTGTTTTTTTAGCCAATTTCTTGACTTGATTTATAGTCATTTAATACTACAGTTTAGTGATACTTATTTTCACTATGAAGTCTTAGGTTCAATTTACGAGCAAACTTTGAAGCAACCACATAAGTTGGAGTCAAGAATAGATATGAAGATAGTCACGCCAAAACATGATGTTCTAATTTGGAAAATAGAAAACGATATGATTGATATTTCAAGTACTTCAAATTTTACCTTAATCAAAAGATACACTACTCATACTTACATTATGAGGATCGACAACGCTAATGCTATATAATAGTTTGACCGTCGCACCTCCATAATAATCACGTATACGAAGATCCAGCAATTTAGATATTATCCGTTTTGTTGTATTAGATCATCCAAATGGATATCATGAAAAATAATGCAAGAAAAGAAGCAACATTTTTCCCACATCCCAATCAATAGTTATATCCTTCAACCGTTACCCATTGACCACCATCAAAATATACATTAAGATAATATCTAGAGATGTTAGTTAATCACTGACGTTTTTTTGTGTGTGATGAAATTAGTTAATTACTGACTAAACCTAGTTAAATCACCTACTTACACAGATTCTACACATCTGGAGACTTGGTTTACTGAATGGCGAATGATGACAAAGGCTTAACAGAAAACCAGAGATTAGGTTATAAACTCACAACTGCTGCCCAATCGGGTTATAAATTAAAAGGATGTCTTTAGATTCAAAAGCATGCATGTTCTAATACTGGTCAAACTATGCATGCATGCTCTAATACTCAAACACATAAAAGAGGGGAACGTTTATCGTATGCAGTTTTTCTCTTGTTTTATAACGAGGTTGTTTCCACGAATTGAACTTGTAACATTTCGATCACAAATGAGCAACCTTTTAATTGCAACAAGGCATACATGACAAAATATATAAGTAATTGTAACAGAAACTGCATGACAGTTTCTCTTTACTTGCAAATCATAAATTGTAGTATGATACGTACATAAAAGCAATATGCTTGAGTTATGCACAAGCATGTCACATTGTGAGTTCTTTGCAATGAAGAATGACTTCTTACATGCAAAGATTCATATATTCTTATTTACAAATCACAGTATGACACATATATAAAAGTAACTTATATACGCATGCGAAACAGTGAGTCTTTGCAATAAAGAATAACTCTCGACAGTCTATTCTTAATATTTTGGTACATACATATGTAGTATAGATGACGCATTGTTTATGAGCATTAAAAAAAAGCACTGGATATAGATATAGAGAGAGATCCAGAGACAGAGGTGAGATGGAGCTTCGTGACGCCACTGCTGGAAAGATGCTCCACTAGTTACTAATTTAATCAGTCAACATTTAAAAGGTGAGGACACTAATAGTAAATGCAGATGCTGCGAAAATGATACAAGATCAAAGAAAATATATGTAGAAGAAAGGAAGTGTTTACTCAAATTTGAATCTCTTTTAAGTAAATTAAAATACTTTTGGTTGGTTGATTCTGGGTTTTAGAAAAGGCAGACGACCCATGCCAAATTGGCAATGGTCCAAAGGCTTTAGGAAATGGGAAGTGAGTGAGAGACTGGAGTGAGCATTGAGTGAGTAGGTTCAGTACGTGGGTTTTAAAGGCTGCAAAAATGTTGACTGTAGAGCATGCGGAATGCCCCAAAATACATCTATATATATATTATTATTTTTTTGGTCAGAAAGAGAACATTCATTAATTAAGAAAATAAGTACAAACAATAAAGGACTAAATCAAAAAGTGAGCAACAACCCAAAATATTTAGGGAGGCCCAACCAAGCTTATGCAGTTATGCCTAGCATAAGAAACAAAGCAACAAAAGGAAATCCTAATCTCCAACACACGAGAGCAGCCCGCCGCACCTACGATGCTCGCACAAAATCCCAAATCACACACGAACCATAAGATACAAGATAAAAAATTATATATGTAGAAGAAAAGAAGTGTTTACAAGTAAAAGTCAGAGCGGTGTACCCGCTCTCTTGTACTCTTACACTCAAATTTGAATATCTTTTTTCGTAAATTAAAATACTTTTGGTTGGTTAATTCTGGGTTTTAGAAAAGGCAGACGACCCATGCCAAATTGGCAATGGTCCAAAGGCCTTAGGAAATGGGAAGTGAGTGAGAAACTGGAGTGAGCATTGAGTGAGTAGGTTCAGTACGTGGGTTTTAAAGGCTGCAAAAAGTTGACTGTAGAGCATGCGGAATGCCCCAAAATACACACACACACACACATATATATATATATATATATATATATATATTTTTTTTTTTTAAATTTTTTGGTCGGAAAGAGAACATTCATTAATTCAGAAAATAAGTACAAACAATAAAAGGCTAAAGCAAAAAGTGAGCAACAACCCAAAACATTTAGGGAGGCCCAACCAAGCTTATGCCTAGCATAAGAAACAAAGCAACAAAAGGAAACCCTAATCTCCAACACACGAGAGCAGCCCGCCGCACCCACGATGCTTGCACAAAATCCCAAATCACACGAACCATAAGATTAATTCTGAAACACCGAACCAAATCGAACCCTCGAGATCCAAAACATCAATAGCAACACCTGCAAAGAGAACCAGAGAACCAAACAAAAAATGAAAAAAAGGGAGGGTCGAAAGGGGTGTGGAAAACACCCTTGCTACGATGCAAATCGTTCCACGCTTCACCCAAAATACATCTATATATGATGAAGGATTTGGAAGCTACTTTGGTTTGCCTCACTAGATTTTTTCAGTACAAGAATTCGGTGCTTGTGGAATCTAGCTACCACTGCTAGTTATATATACGAAGACCTACAGATGTTCTGGTTAGAAAATATGATTATGAGACAATGGTTCAACATTAGGGCAAAAGGATAGAGAAAAACTTAAGAAGACTTGAATAGAGACTTTAAGAAAAAACATGGAATACTTCGAGCTAATGAAAAACTTAGCCCAAAAGTGCTTGTCTTTCAAGTAGAAGAAACCGTGTCAAGTAGTGTTATTAATCCATTCATATTATGATACGTGTATTCATTTATTAATATTCTATTTTCTGTCAATTATGTCGTCCACCCATGTTATCACACATGATTTAGTAAAAGCACATGGAGAAATGGCCGCCATAGTACAAAGATTCCTTTCATAACAAGCTTATGGAGCCAGCTGACAGTAAAACATATAGAATTTTCCTCCAAATTTGAGATGGAAAATGGGTTTTGGACCTTGAAACAGAGAAAGAACTACATGGAACGGGTTCATGTACAAGGCCGCAGGGAGGCGAGACTTACACATTACCTTGTATTGGTGGTCATGGTGAACAAAAACCCGTAAAATACAAGTCTTTCTCCATGAGACGGTGTACGTCTTAAAGAGGGATATATGTATAATATAGGCTTTATCTTCTTGGTCACTTTAAAGGATTTTGGGCCTACGTTTTATCCTGCTGTAGTCTTGAAGTGAGGAAAACCTTGGGCTAGGCCTAACTGTATATATTTCAGCAGCCTTCAAAGGCTTGGATGCTGGTGGGAAATGAGAAGTATAGATGGCTAAAACTGCATGGGGTGAGTCTTTCTTCAAGGAAATCATCAGAGAGTTTCGAAACCGAGATTGTTTGCCTCTTTCCTTAATGATCAACATGAGACATCTAAGGCAATGCTCTTACTTTCTAAACATTAATCAACACACATATGGCAGATAACTATAGTTGCAGATTCCACGACATCTGCTGGTTTTGGACACCGATCACCATCATACCTATGATCGAACAAACAAACTGACATTTATTGTGCTACAAATCCTTCCCTAGCATAGGTTAGCAGTAGCACAAGCACACTAAACATTCTTCTCAAGTTCCGACATATCTGACTAGACAACATTCTGTAAACACATTCTGCCATAACTTTCTCATATGAGAATCCTCTTCGTTTGTTTTCAACCCTAATCCACTCAAAACCAATAGAAGTTTGCACATCTAGTACCGGAATCAATCTGCTAAGCAGCTGTAACTACACCATCTAAGCCTATTGCAACAATCAACCCAAAGAAAGATGCAAAAATTAGTAGAATGCAGGCAATTTAAACACGTGATAATATGATAGAACAAACTTAAAAAAAAAACAAATCACATCATGTGTCAAACAGCACAAACTTCAAACTTTCCCCAAGATTATAAAGGTCAGGACAAAATGCAGAAAGAGCTTACGAATCCTCGGGAGCTGGCTGGTTAACCCCAACCTTCTCCGACAACTTACTCAAAGATGCAGGCGGACTAACTTGATATTTCACTTTTCGAGAAGGTGAGAGAAATACCTCAGCCAATTCAAGCTTCTCTGGGGTGAGACTTGTGCTGTCCATGGTTTTACTGAGCACCTTCAGCGCTAGCTCGACTCCCTCTTCCCTAGTCATATCATCCTTGTAATCCTGCTTAAGCATTGACTGCGCAGCTTGGTTGTTAGCCCCAATCACAGCAGCTTTCCAGCCGGCATAGTTTCCGCTCGGATCACTCATGTAAAGCTGGAAACAGTAATTCTTGTCCCAACCAGCGAACAAAAATGAAACACCAAATGGCCAGAGACCACCAAACTGTGTGTACCCCTGCTTGGTATCACAAAGAGATTGAACAAGCTACTCAACAGGCATCGGTTCCTGATATGCAAACATGTAGCGCTGAGCTTGGACCCGAGCGGTGTTTATCAGAATGTTGGCATCAGACATTATGCCAGCCACAGCACAAGCGACATGGTCATCAATCATGTACATTTTCTCAGTGGAAGTTGAGGATTGGAGGAGTTTGGATGTGACTTTCTTCTCACCAACCAAGACAACCCCGTCTTTGGACAGTATTCCGATTGCTACCCGCATTCCCAATGGCCTCCATTGCATACTCAACTTGGTAGAGACGACCCTCAGGGGAAAAGATTGTTGTCCGGCTATCATATCTCCTAGACATCTTTGATTACAACTGTGAAGTAAACATCGAAATTTATAGTAAGAACACCCGGAAATTGAATTCGAATTCGAAAAGGAAGAACAAGGGAAACCCAGAAATCAAAATATGAATACAATTTCGGCAAGTATTCTTCTTCAATCTAACATACAAAATTACTAAATATCATCAATTCGGCAATGCATATTTGAAATACTAAGAACATCAGAACCCAGATAAAAAAATTACAACAATAATATCACCGAACAGATGAATGGATTAACAAACATTAAAATGCACGATAATCAGAGGTACCAACCAGCGAATTACAATGAAGCTGTCGACATTTGAGAAATTTCTCAGAAACTAATTGAAAAGACGATTGTTATGATCCTATATTTCGATCGCAATTAGTGATGTAATAGCAGACTAAATATGAGTATTAGAGAGTGATTAGTTATTGCCAGCTGGCAATTTGTTTTAGTGGAAACTTATATAAGCTCATGCTTTGGATGTAAAAGGGAGATCAGAATTTACAACAAAGAAATTAAATACAAAAATATTTGGAGCTCTGCTCCTTCATCTTTCCTTCCCTAATCTTCCATAGCTTTCTTGTGCTACTTACAGATTGATTAAGGGAATTGAGAATTGGGTCTTATCAATGGTATCATCCTTCTCGAATCCTGGTTTCCCTCTTGTGCACGCCCACTCGACCCGTCTTCTTGCCATGGATGCGCTCATCTCAGCTGCAATCGACTCCTTCAAAGCTTCGATGCGTGCTGCGATCCGTGAAGCTATGGATTCTGCACTCACCGCCATTCACAAGGTTATGAATCCTGTCCTCGTAGAAATCCGTAGTGACCTTGCTTAGTTACACTGTGACTTGGCTCTCAACGTCGAGGGAGATTCTGATCCAGCCTCGATGTGTTCCGAGGAAGCTAAATCGATCGAGGTCGGTCACCAAAAACCTCAGAACGGAGACGGCAACCCACTGCGAATTTCATCGACAATCCACACCAATTCCATTCTACCATTGCTCTCATCTTCACCGATGTTGCGAGCACTGGCAAATTCGGCCGTCAAGCCACACTCGAACAACTCCGTTGCATCTACAGTATTGCTTTCGAAATCGAAGACGATGATATCTGCTCCGCAGCTACTCCTTAAGCACTCGTTCTCCAATACTACGAAAACTGGACCTGAGGTAGTTCTTAATTTGAGTATCATTTCAACAACTCCAGAGGCTAAATTCCATTCTCTTTTAACTGATTACTATGGTGCATACTTGAAAGATAAATTTGGATGAGTTAATTGGTATCTTGTGGGTAAATTGGTGAAGAAAAATTTCTATGCATTGCATCTGTTTGATGATATGTCTAAGAGGCATAATAGGGATAATATGTCATTGAGTAGCAACCTGGAAGCTTTGGATATTGTTGTATTCGTTTGTCGTTATTTACCTAAAGATCTTGCAGCTAGTTTCACTGAGAAGAATGGGACTTTGGGTCATATCAATGCTATCAAGCAGTTCATCTGCTTATCACTGTTACACATCTGTGCATTCACAGTCATGGCCATTTCCCAGCATGACTATTCTATTTTCACCAGCTTGTTTTCAAAATTGAATCAGGAATTGTGTAATAGGGTTGGTGTACACCTTGATGCTGTTTTCTAGCGAATGACCAAATTTTCCAGCAACCGGGTTGGTGTCACACTCTAACTGATCTTTGTGACAATATATCTTATCAAAGGGTTGTCCTCAATAAGAGGAACAAGTTCAATCAAAGGAATTATACAATATGGTTGATGGAGAGGCCCTGCATTATCCTATCTTTCAAGGTATTAGAAGAAAATGGGAAGAGAAAAGGTTTCAGATTTGATCAGTTTGGCAAAGAGGACTCAGATATGGCAGCTGCTAGTGCTCTCAATGATACAATCAGTAAAGGGAATAACCTATATGTATCGATATTTGTTCAGAAAAGTAAGAATGATAACAGACTCCGTATCTTTTCCAACACTCTAAACCCTGCGTTGTCTCAAGAAGTGGTCTGCTACAAGGGTCTGGAACTTGCTACAAATATTACAGAAGCATGTAACAATTGTGTTTTTGGTCAAATTGTGCTCTTGCTAGTGCAAATTGTTACAACCATGATCTGGCTCTTGAAAGAATATGCTAACTTGAAAGGGTTCAAGATGGACATTTTAGACAAGAACAGGAAGTGTTTGCAATACTCAGCCATAAACACAGAAATGATCATTTCAAAATCAAGGAAATCATTTCCATGGTTGCCAACAGTTTAACAAGTCTCCTGAATTTAGAGATTGAGTTCAAGCTTCTTTTGCAAGAGGATGGAACAACTATTGCTTCAATCTTATTTTTCTTGGTTTATGGAATGTGTTGAGGCATAAAACTGGAGGTCTTAGAACAACGTAAATCCGACCGTGAATCTGCAAGAAATGTAAATAACACAAGATGTATCGTGGTTCACCCCAAGGTTTGGGCTACGTCCACACTGATATTGTATTTCTGAGGGAGAGAGAGAGCTATGAATATGAGAGTGAGAGCTTTGAGAGAGCTTAGAGCTTAGGGGATGTGAGGAGGCTTAGGAATTGGCCTCCTTAATTGTGAGGGTGAGGGGTCCTTTTATAGAATAAGGACTCCTCACTTATTACATATTTGCCCCTTCATTTATTACATAATTACATTTAAGTCCTCCGAGTATTTATACGAGATCTAAATACGAAGGTCCTAAGTATGGTACAAACAGTAGTCCCCCAAGTCTTCAGTCAAGAGAGTCTTTTGGCTGGAAACTTGAAATTCAGTCCATGTATGGGCCGAAGTAACTAGATGTCGTCTAGGACTAATACTCGATATGAGGTGGTGCTCAACCTGAAATGATGCTCAACTAGAAGTAGCACATGTTGCGAGGCTGCTTTGCTTGTGGCTTATGTTGCCTTGGTTGGTTCGACTTGTGGTGTTGAAGGTGAGGGAGTCCCTTTTATAGAATAAGGGCTCGCTCCTCAATACATAAATGATGGGCTAGAGTTGATGCTCGCGGCAAGGCGGTTGCTCAGTAGGCGGCGATGCTCTCTAATGATAGTGAGGGAGTCCATTTTATAAAATAAGGGCTCGATCCTCAGTACATGAAGAATGAGTGCTCTCTAATGAAAGTAAGGGAGTCCTTTTTATAAAATAAGGGCTCGCTCCTCAATACATAAGTGTGGGCTAAGTCCCCCAAGTATTTTTTTTATGAGGCCCAGTTGAGGCCCAATATATGGTGTATAGTGTAGTCCCTCAAGTCTTCGGTCAATAGAGTCTGTTGGCTGGAGACTTCAAATTGAATCCATGTATGGGCCAAAGTGGCGGTTGTTCGGAAGTGGTATTTGTATACCCTGCACTAAAGCTTTGTAGGTGAAGCTTTGCAAGTGAAGCTTTGAAGCGGGAGCTCTGTAAATGAAGCTTTTGAAGCTAGAGCTTTTGTAAATGAAGCTTTTGAAGCTAGCGCTCTGTAATGAAGCTTTTGAAGCTGATTGACATAAGTGATGCTCATGAATGTTTATGTTGAATGACATGAGTGATGCTCATGGATGTTGACATGAGTGATGCTCATGAATGTTGACATGAATGATGGTCATGAATGTTTATGTATGATTGACATGAGTGATGCTCATGAAATGTTTATGTATGATTGACATGAGTAATACTCATGTATAGTTTTGGAGTACTGGATGTACTTTTGATCACCTGGTTGGTGATAATAGCGGCAGGTTGCTTAATAATTTTGGAGTACTGGGCATATTTTTGATCACCTGGTTGGTGATAATAGCGGCAGGGTGCCAAATAAATTTGGAGCCATAGGGCCTGGCTCTTTTGGGCATATGGGCCTTCGCCCTCCACATAACATTGCAGCCCATTATTTTGGGCTTGCCGTTTTTTTTTATTACTCTCTGATGAAGTTTATACAGATGTCTCCGAAAGATAAGAAAAATAAATTACATCATTAAAAAAAACAAGAAAAGTAAATCACGTCATTCTGGTGGGATGTTTATTCCTTGCTTTTGCTTTCCTCCCCGCTCTTTCTCTGTCCACCTATGTTGCTTTGTAAGGTATCTTTTGTTTGCAAACCACTTGCTTTTCTTGAACAGCCTGGTCGTGCCCATCACTCATCCTTTTTCTTTTTCTTTTTCTCTTTGCCCTTTTGCTTTCCACTGCGTCTCTGTCTCTGTCTGTTTGTGTGCTGCCAGTTTTCAAAGTGGGTTCCTCCTGCTGCTTATCCATGTTATTGTTCTCATAAGAAATGTGAACACTTGTAGCCTGCTTGAATCGGACTCCGGTAGCTTTCCGGCCAAAGTTTGACTGTGAATATCAAACCTGGAGGTTGTGATCTACTTAATCTGATCACGGTGATCATCTTCTGCATCTTCAAATTTATGCTGCTTTGATATTTTCACATTCTGAACAAACTACAAATGTTGAAGACTTGATGGGTGGAAAATTAGTCATGCCAGCAGAGAAGCATGATTACACATCTCCTAATGATGTAGAGCCTTCCTTTCTGTTGTCTAAGATACCCCCAAGCCTTTTGCATGAAACACTATTTTTCTTGATGGACAGATCAGCTTCCATGCCTGAACTGCTAAGTTTCATATCTCATATATGTGAACTTGACTGGGAGTTCAATCTAAGCTCCATATTTGTTGAAGTTGACACGCCACTGGTAAGCGCTATTAGTAATGAATTCATATTCCAGTTACCTGTAAGAATTGAAACTTACATATCCGTCAATTTTCAATTGTGCAGGGACGCTGTGGCACTAGGAGCAGCGTTTTTTCTTCCTCTAATTGCAACAACATTTGAGACTTTGTTTCTTCATCTAGCTTTAGTCCTGCTATATCGACCTCCTTGCATGCCCTCGTACTCTTTTTCCAGCCTCTTAAAAACCATAACCACCTCCTTACTGCCACGCCACAGGCTTTCAGGGAGTTCATCGTCTGCCGCCATTGGAGCTCCACACAAGCTGTTCAGCTGCGCTTGGAGACTTTTATGCTTTCAGTCGCTATTGTTTCAGTTTCGCCATTGCAGCGCATGGGAGATTCGGATTGACGGTGGGTTTAGATCTGCGATTCGGAGGATTTGGAATTGAGTTTTTGAGGAATCTGGCGGTGGCGGTCCGGCCGAGTGAGGATGGTCAGCTAAGAGACCGTTTGCTAGGAATAGGGTTTGAAGTAATCCACCTGAATCTAGGAATGTAAATGCTTCAGCGCAAAAAACCAGAACCGACGAGATGAAAATTACGGCGAAGCACACGCACACACTCCTTTTGGCTGCCATATTATCGAAGAATCTAGATTTCTGGAGAAGAAATCGACGTCGGAGTTGTGAATTAAAATGCAGAAAAGCTATGGTTTATAGATGACAAGATGTACGTGTGGAGGAAGCAACGGGCATGGAGAGAGAGTAGAGATGGTTTGGAATGCGTGCTGTGGAAGTTGCGGAGAGTAAGAGAGATAGAGATATGGGACTGGTTTCTTGGGTTTTTCCGGGAAAGCTTTGGGTTGTTGGGTTTTTGTAAATTTTGCAGATCCATGGTGGAGGTGAAAAAATGAAAGAGAACTGACATAGTTTTGTATCGATTCCCACAGACGGCGCCAAATGTTGATGCACAAAACCGGAGGTCTTGGAACAACGTAAATCCGACCGTGAATCTACAAGAAATATAAATAACACAAGATGTATCGTGGTTCACCCTAAGATTTGGGCTACGTCCACACTGATATTGTATTTATGAGGGAGAGAGAGCTCTGAATATGAGAGTGAGAGCTTTGAGATAGCTTAGAGCTTAGGGGATGTAAGGAGGCTTAGGAATTGGCCTCCTTAATTGTGAGGGTGAGGGGTCCTTTTATAGAATAAGGACTCCTTACTTATTACATATTTGCCCATTCCTTTATTACATAATTACATTTAAGTCATCCGAGTATTTATACAAGATCTAAATACGGAGGCCCTAAGTATAGTACAAACAGAATGCATTTCAAGGAGCAATGGAAATCTCGGACAACACCATATGTGACTGTACCTGAGCAACATTGTGTAAGTCATCGTGTTTTCTCTTATGTGATTGGTAAAAAATGGATTTTGGTAGAGCTGGAGTTGCATCATAAGAAAATTGGCAGACGTATTCGGATGCTCACTTTTGGTAGTGAAGAGGTAATAGTATTCAGGCCAAATCTAAGAGTTGATGGTGCTAGTGTATATGCATGGTTGTACGATTATGAAGGTATCTACAAAGTCTGTCATAAGCTGAAAGTAATTTTGTTAGACAATATGGCACACATCAATGTATTGGTTGCTTCTGGTGTAATTTCATTTGGTTGTTGCTGGTGTTATTTCTTTGCGTGTTCTTCAGGAAGTATGTACATCACATTTGTCTTTGCATGGTCTTTGTATATTTGTCTTACCATGAGTGTAAGTTGGCAAAATGAGCTGTTTAAATTTTTGGAACTTGATACTACTCAGCCACCTTATGTATTCAAATGCCAACTATACACCTTAACAGAGGTGATGAAGGACATGGTTGAAGCTTTAGGTTTGCTCAGGCCCTCTAAATCTTCCATGCATAATATCGGTGTTGCTTATGAAGGTTTAAAGTTCAATGATTTCAATGATTCAGAAAGAATGGCAGTTTTCAATATCTTATATAGGCTGGTCTCATCCATTAGCTTATTTCAGAAAATGGAGTTTTTTGACAATCAGACATTAGGTGGTCCCGGTATCACTGAAAAAGGCTATGAGATATGCTTCCTCGAGGGGAAGATGACTGAGAAAGACATCACTCCCATGGGTGGCTTCCCTCACTGTGGTGTGGTGAAGGATGGCTACATTGAATGGTGTGTTGGACCTAAGAAGAGGATAGTTAATCTTCGACAGTCTCTTCTCAATCAGACCTCTCGTCTTGCTCTCGAGGATATCAAGCTCAGAACCATCTCTAAGGCTATAATTCTTGGCAATGGTCCAATTGCTATAGTAGATGCATTGGTTGAGAATCTTCTGTCAGGTTCCCTGGGAGTTTGCCCATTTTCTCCATTTGATGTTGTTGCATGCTTTTTGGCAACTAGCATGGAAATTGAAATGATATCGTGGGTCGAAATTTATGAAAAGGCTACAGGTAACAAGTGCTCACTTACCAAGTTATGGGGAGCTGCCATAACCAGCTTAGGGGTGCTGTCAGGCTCATCTCCTCAAGTTGTGAGCTACCTGCAGATTGTATTTGTATTCCCTGCAGCTTCCCTTCTGTTGCAAGACTCCTTAGTTTCTGCTCGTTCAAATAAGTTTTTCAATTTTCAACCTTGAGGACAAGGTTGTTCTTCAAGGGGGAAGTATTGTTATGATCCTATATTTCAATCACAATTAGTGATGTAATAGCAGACTAATATGAGTATTAGGGAGTGATTAGTTATTGCCAGCTGGCAATTTGTTTTAGTGGAAACTTATATAAGCTCATGTTTTGGATGTAAAAGGGAGATCATAATTTACAACAAAGAAATTAAATACAAAAATATTTGGAGCTCTGCTCCTTCATCTCTCCTTCCCTCTACTTCCATAGCTTTTTTGTGCTACTTGCAGGTTGATTAAGAAAATTGAGAATTAGGTCTTATCAACGATCGTTGGCGAATGCGAATCTTACCCAGATTCGCTCACGCTCCGTTCGTGCAGATAGTCAAAGAAATTTTATAGCTTTGCCGCCTATTCGGCTCAGCTCCCTCTTTCTTCTTCAGTTCTTCGTCGTCTTCTTCCTCAAGAAGTAACCAAAGGTCTCACTTTGTTTGCTCCGGAGCAAGGGCTTTCGTGAAAATTTGGGCAAAACGATGGGGATAAATATGGGCCTGTTTGACGTGGGTAGCCCAAATGTTGGTTCGTATGCAACCCATAATATTCAAGCATGTTTTTGAAATTTTGATAAAAACATGAGAAGATATAGTAGGGATTGTGGTTTTTTTTTTTTTTTGGTTTTTTTTTCTTTAATACAAATATTATTATTAAGATAAGGGAGAAAGTTTGAAACTATTACAATAATTTAAGGGTGGAAGGTGTTTCGAACTCAAGACATATAGGTAAAAACTCAATACCTTATTCATTCATATATTTGACTACATACATACATATATGGTAGGGATGAATGAGATAAATAATAGGAAAATTTTGGTGGGCTCGATAAATTTATCCATAAATTTATTAGCATTGGTTTTGGTTTGTGTCAATTATTAAAGGTCTTTTTCTTTCATTTGTCTTAAACTAATATAAGAGTCAAACAAAATTTCAACGAGGGGATTTATTTGTTATTGGGTTCAACGACAGATAATACCCCACATTCACTCCGTTATATAAAAAGATTATTTGAGACTGTAGGAGTGACATTAAGTGCTTTTTGTAGAACGATGATTCTTTTCATTCCAAATTCTCTCTGTACTCATGTCGTACATTTATTGTATATAAATTTTTTTAAATTTTTTATTTTAAATTAAATATAAACCGTATCTGATAAAAATTGATCACACAATATACGATGAACATATACGATATGAAGATATTTAGAATCTTCGCAAAGAAGATTGCTTTCGGTAGAGAGTTTGGTATTGCATGGCAGCATGTGAGACAAACATTGCTCATCAGAAGTAATTGAATTGGAACTTGAAATGTTTTAGTAACACCATTGAAAGTTAGGTGAGGACATATCATTTTTTTTTATAGAAATTTTAATGGAAAGTTTCTAGTACTATTTATTTAAAAGAAAAATCATATTTTTACATTAAAAAATCAATTTTAGTGCTATTCACTTTACATTTTATTTTGTCTTTATCGTTAAAACTAAAAATTTTCAAGCTTTTTTCATTAATTTTTTTAAAATTCTTTTTCTCTCTCTAAATTGTCGATATGGTGGTCGATCTCGATCATATGATCGCTAACATGTTTGTTTGGGATAAATTGATCAAATAATTGAAACATCGAAAGAATATTATTCCGATTCCCCTTTGGATTTGGTGCATGTGATTCAGCAGGACCTAAGAAAGTTGTTGACATATGTGTTGCATGCATGCATGCATCGACATGCATGTGGCACTTGACGTTGATAGTTTATTCCTACTGTATCTTTAGGTACGAATGCAGTCAAAACGTAACTCAATAATGCAGTACACAATCACGTGCACCTGCAAACACACTTTACATAGCCACCGACAAGGGAGAGCTACGAACCTACATTGCTATGTTATTAGCGTTTCGATATAATAATATAATATTATGTACGAGTTTTTATCATATTAATAGACCGAAACACTACGGTGGTTCCATCCAAGTCATTCTACAGAGAAAACCAGATTAACAGTGAATTAATCAAGTTCTTTAAGCTCAAGTTATAACATTCCAAAATAGAAACATCCACAGCTCACCAAATTAACATGACTTAATTAATTACCACAGTGTTTCGATCGACCTGATGCACTCTTCAAATAAGCAAAACAAAACCAAATTACAGATATTTATCCTTAAGAAGCAGTTTTTACTTCCACGCTTTGACATGCTATTATTGGCTAGGTGGCGCCACATATTGCTAAATGACGACATGATTAACAACCACTAACTGTGATTTAGGAATATGACATGATGATCACCTATGCAGGACACTGGAATCCAGAGGGAGGTGTCTTCCCACAATCAATGAGCACCTGAAGAGCAATGGGGATGATGAGGTTGATATTGAGAAGCTTAGCCTTGATCGTGGTGCAAAGGCAAATAGCAGCGTCCAAGTCCACCAGTCCCTGAAGCACCGGACAACATGCATCTTTGGCACTGCTCCCAATTCCAATGTGGATAAGTCCACCCAGCACATCTACACAAGCTCCCAACTTTAAGGTGTCGATGGGGCACGTGTCCTTCGGTGGCGACTTTGGAGGTGGTGATGTTGGGGGTGGTACTACCTTTGGTGGTGGAGGAGGGCATGGTGTTTCAGTGGGTGGAGGAGGCTTCACTGGGACAACTGGGGTTGGGGTTGGTGTTGATGGTGGGCTTGGCACTACAACAGGTGGTGAAGGTGGAGGCAGTACAACTGGGGGCTTGGGGGTATATGGTGGAGGCAGTACAACTGGGGGCTTGGGGGTATATGGTGGAGGCAGTACAACTGGGGGCTTCGGGGTATATGGTGGAGGCAGTACAACCGGGGGCTTCGGGGTATATGGTGGAGGCAGTACAACCGGGGGCTTCGGGGTATATGGTGGAGGCAGTACAACCGGGGGCTTCGGGGTATATGGTGGAGGCAGTACAACCGGGGGCTTCGGGGTATATGGTGGAGGCAGCACATACACCGGGGGGGTTCGGGGGATATGGTGGAGGCCACAACCGGGGGCTTCGGGGTATATGGTGGAGGCAGCACAACCGGGGGCTTCGGGGTATATGGTGGAAGGCAGTACAACCGGGGCTTCGGGGTATATGGTGGAGGCAGTACAACTGGTGGTTTGGGATGGGGAGGTGGTTTGACAACTGGAGGCTTGACAACAGGAGGTTTGGGATGGGGAGGTGGTTTGACAACAGGAGGCTTGGGATGGTGAGGTGGTTTGACAACAGGAGGTTTGGGATAGGGAGGTGGTTTGACAACAGGAGGTTTGGGATAGGGAGGGTGGTTTGACAACAGGAGGTTTGGGATAGGTGAGGTGGTTTGACAACAGGAGGTTTGGGATAGGGAGGTGGTTTGACAACAGGAGGTTTGGGATGGGGAGGTGGTTTGACAACAGGAGGTTTGGGATGGGGAGGTGGTTTGACAACAGGAGGTTTGGGATGGGGAGGTGGTTTGGCAACTGGAGGTTTCGGATAAGGAGGTGGTTTTACAATGGGTGGTTTAACATGAGGGGGTTTGATTGGTACATGAGGAGGAGGCTTTGCATGAGGTGGTTTGACATATGGTGGTGGCTTCTTTGGTGGTTTAGGGTGGAAGGGTGGAGTTACATGGGGAGGGTGTTTGGGTGGCAAGTGAGGAACTGGAGGGTATGTTGGTGGTGGGCAATAGGAGTTAGCAAGAGAAGTGAGCAAACTACCCAAGTTGAGAATGAGGACTAAGAGCAATGCCAGAGCATAATTGATCTCCATGTTCAATACTAGCTACACTCCACAACCCTCAAGAGAGCTGGGTACAAAACTAGATATTGAAACCCAATACCAAGCAAATGCCTTTATAGAGAGTTTAACGCGCTTAGTGTGTGTGCTTGACAGTGTGTGTGTGAGAGAGAGAGAGAGAGAGAGAGAGAGAGAGAGAGAGAGACAGAGAGAGATACTCCTGCTCATTTCTTTGTCGTACCAACTGCATATATAAAATTACTAATTTGTGTATATTTAATTTGCCAAATTGTCATCACTCATTGACTTGAGGGTCTTTCCAAAACCAAGTTGAAGTTCACATTCGCCACAAAACAAGATGGAGGAATGGAGTCACTCCTTCCTTTACATTCAGATTTCAAGATATATCCAAGTAGGGTATTGTAATTTGAAATCAGTGGTCATGATCTTTAGCCAAATATGGGTATGTTTGAAGGAGAGATTTGTAAGCACCAATAACTTCAGGTTAAATTAGTTAAAACTCTATTGTAAAATAGTAGATGAATGAATTTGAAATGATAAATACAATGAATTGAGAGGATGTGCAAATTGATTACTTGAAACGAACCAATTCTAAATCATTTGCTTATGTTTTTGTATAGAAACGCATTTCTAAATATCTTACTTCATTACTACAAATTTAACCATTGTATTAAAAATAAATAAAAATAATTTAGTACTAGCAAATTGCTAATCCAATCATAATGTTAAAGGACAAAGGTAAGGAATCAAGAAATTGGATTTTGCTATAGGCAAATTTTTAACATGTAGTGTGCTTTTCAACCCGTGATTGGGGTTCATGCTGCCAAAACTACACATGTGATGCTTTCACTAACAAAATGTTTTTGTATTAAAAAAAAACAATGGGGACAAAAGAGGCCCTAGACTTTTTCAACTTAAAGGGCATGCCTTTTTTTTTTTATATAAATTTTTTTTTATGGGAGGGTTTTGTTTTCCTTTTCTTGAACAGGACTAGTCAATTACTGTTATCTCTTTCTTAGTTCGAGTTAAGGCATTCTTATGAATAGACAGATGCAATCGCATTTGGGTGTCGGCCAGCATCTTATTATATATTTTCTCAATTAAATTATTGGAATTTGGATGTAGAAACTTCCTTTTAATTTAGAGAACTTTCATGAAAATAGAGAACTTTCATGAAAATAGCTTGGACTAAGTTTTATTTTAGACCAACTCCAACCTTTGGGCTAAAAGTCAAATTTTTTAGCCCGGAAAATTTGGCTTTTAGCCCAGAAACATCTTTTCTGCTCCAACCCTTCTAGCCTAAAATTTTAGCCCGGAATTATTAAAGAATGAACTTAGGCTAATTTTTTTCTTAAATCAATTTAAAAAAAAAATATGTAGATTATTGTAAATTAATTTTATGAACATTTTAATCTAAAAAAAATTTAAATTCCGATAAACATTTGACATTTAGCCCGGGGGGAAAGCTGGGGGGTATTTGGCCCAGAAATAACATTTGGCATTTAGCCTAAAATTTTGACATGGGTTGGAGAGTGTTTGGGGGGGGTAATTTGGCTTTTAGCCCAGGTTTGGAGATGGTCTTAATAAAAATTATGCTATAACTATATTTAATGAAAAAGACTTAAGTTTTAATAAAAAGGACAAAAAAAAAACTTAAATTTTAATGAAAAAGATATAATTTTAATATTTAAAAAAAAAAACTGATGCGCGGATCCATGCTCCCCTCACACAAACTGTTTATGAAACTTAATGGTACTACACTGTTTATGAAACTTTCAACACTGTTTATGAAATTTAACGATACTACACTGTTTATAAAACTTAACTGTATATGCTCGTCCCAGATTTTCAAGTTCTTTCACCAGAATGCAATAAAAAGATTAAAAAAATAAAGCATGATAGAGATCAACGTCCACGACGTTAAAGTGATGCATGACCAATAGCTCAATACCATTACTAGAAAAATGGGTGATGAGTCCAACGATATTGTCAATGATGTTGCCCCACCCTTACCCCCAACCATCCCAACTCACACCTGACCGACTCCCTCCTAACCATACCGCCTCAGATATGGTTCTGAATTGAACGGATCCCACTTCAATTTGAAATTTTAATTTTAGAGGAATAAAATATATTTGGATTATGTTAAAGGGTTATGCAACTGAAGGATTGGTTGGGTGCTCTTTGCATGCGCATTTAGTTAGGTTTTTTTTTTTTCTCTCTCTCTTGTACTTATCATTAAATAAAGTTATATGATGATTTTTTGTTAAAACTCAAAGTTTTGAAGCTATTTTCATTAATTTTCCTTTTAATTTACACAACTGCTATAACCCTAGCTGCATGCAATTGCATTTCAATGTAGGGTAATGCTATATGTATGCTCATTTTTATTTCTTACACAATTTCTTAATTTTTGGTTGTCGGATTGAACGAATTAAAGATCTACGATAACAAAATTAACAATGACGTGTAAAAGATAAAAATTGATGCATTTTTTTTTAACAAACTAAAAATAATGCTTCACATGCAGCTACAAAAAATGTCATCGAACCTCCATTGAAAAGTGACTAGGGTTGTACTTGTGGCCGTGCATTAGGGTTTGTATTATTTTGTAATGTGTAAAGTCATGTTTGCCAAAGAATTGTGTAAATATGGAGGAAATAATGAGCATGTATTGCCGTCGTCTTCCTATTGCAAACAAGTATGTGTATTGGCTTTTAATGGTGAAAGTCCAACCTGTCGGTCACTTCCCCAAGCCATTTGAATTAACGTCCAAAAATGGTAAAGCAGCTGGCCTAGTTGTTGCAGTATATGCCACTAAATGCTGATGGTTTATCTTTGTCAATCTAAACATTGAAGTTTCTCTTATACTTATCATTAAATAAAGTTTTATGATGGTTTTTAGTTAAAATTTAAAATTTTGAAGTATTTTTCATTAATTTAATTCAATCTAAAATTATTTGCTTATTTAATTATCAAAATAAAATTTCATTGTTTTTTATATAACAAAGTATTCGTTAATTTTTTTATAACTAAATTAGTAAGTGAGAGGTTTTAGGTTCGGCTCTCACCAAATGCGAATATGAACCACATTATTGCTTAGCCCATTGTGAGGCTAAACCCATCCTCTCTCTTTAGTGTACATAATATCATTTGTTCAATTTTTTTTTTTAAATATTTCCGATTTGGCTAATATTTTGCAAGGATGATCTATGAGGTGCAACTTGAAAAATAGACAGTTTGGATCGTTAAAATTCAATGTGGTGTGGACCTCACAGCTAATCTCCATTTAAAAATAAAAAAAAAAATTCTTTCCCTTGCAGGCATCCTAAGACTAAAGGGACTAGATATAAAAGCACCACTCGAGATGCTCCTAACTCTATGTATATGTTACAGCTCAATAAAAGAAAAATATTACATGTGTAAGCAAGTTCCAATTGAGCGAGTCTAAATAACTTTTCTGTTTAAAATTAGTTATTAATTACATCCTTTCATTTGCTTTCACTTGATAATGTTCATTAATTAACAAACCCTTCAAAGAATGAAGGCATCAAATGCAAGTAATTTGGCAGCTGTTCGTTCCCTTCCAACCAAATATATAATTATATGAGATCATTCTCCACACGAGTTAATTATTACTTATTGATAGAATAAAAACTCATACTTCTTGCTAATCCTGCTAAATGAAAGATTATACAAGTGTGCTTGCAGATTCTGGACAATCTGGAAATCTCAAAGGGAATATATTCCGTGCAATAGAGTTTTCTTTATCTTCTTCATGAATCATCCCTTGTAGAAGAATTTGCATCCATCAAAACCTGCCATGTCACAACCATGCAATGATTAATTTGTTAATTAGCATGCTGTGTGTCAGTGTTCTTGATGAGCATGCGGTGCAATATCCTAGTAGATAACGTCTTGGATTTCTAGCCGTACATTCCGAATTCGAAACTCTCCTAACCCTAAAATATTGTAAAAGTTTTGAACCCGTTCCCTTGCGTTATTAATAATAAATTAAAAATAAATGTCTAGATCAAAGCTCTGCGAGATATCAAGTACAATATGCCAAATATATATAAGGACAAGAAATTTATATCTTGATTGGGAACAATTTGGACTTACTGGGATCAACTGTGACAAGCATGGCAGTCCCTCCAAAATCACAAGTGCCTCCAGCAGCCTTCGTCTTCTGCCAGTAACTGTTGAAGGCGTACGAAGCATGCGACAACAATGTGTCGGGCTTGTAGCAGGACCCACTGGGCTGGATTGACTTGCAGTCTGCCCCCGACCCACATGCATAGTCTAGGGCTTCTTGGACTATCGGGTCCGGCACCGCTGGGTTGGCCACGCACCATGCTGCAGACTGCGGTGGCTTTTTGTGCGGAGGAGATGGTGGCCCGGACGGCGGAGGGGAAGCTATGGGGGGCAGAGAGATTGGTTGGGTTGGGATGGATTTGGGTGGGATAGGAGAATTTTCGGGCGGGATTGGGGTTGTGGTTGGTGGGTATGGGCTAGGCCCATTTTGTGGTGGGTTTGGGATGGGTGAGGAAGTGGGCCCAGATGAAGGAGGATTTGTAAGAGGTGGGGTTGAAGGAATCGGTGGGAGTACAGAGTACGGATCTGGAAGAGGGAGATTTCCTGGTGCTGGTGAATCCAACGGTGGTGATGAGGAGGGAGAGGGAGAGCTGGCATCGAACGGTGTAAATTCAATATTTGGGGAAGGCAATGGAAATTGTAAGTCCAGGTGATATATTGCTTTCAGCTTGTACTTCTCTAATTCATGGATTGAATTGCTTTTGTGTAGTTTTGTGTCATGGGGTTTAAAGAATTGGGCAAAACTTCTTGCATCTGCACCAAAACAAACCATAGAATTAGTTGTAAAAGTTGTCCAAGTAATGTAAGTTGTGTGTAGGAAGAAAGAACTTGCATGCAACTATTACGTCACACTAATCGTAACTCGCCAATCAAGCACTTCAAAGTGCAAAGTTAAATGATAGGCTTGTAATATTGCCATAGTGACATATTGCCGCAATGACGGTATTATAAGTCAATAACACACTTCAATGTGAGAAGTGAAAACACATTGTGGCATGTGATAGGCTTGAGATACTGTCACTGAGATATTTTAGACGTAAGTAAGTTTCTCTCTGCTAATGAGGAGGGCTAAATTAATGACTTTGGACACAAAGAAAAGCACTTGCTTACCACATAGAATGGAGAAAGTTGTGATTGAAATGGAGATGTAGAAAATTGGTATGATGCTCAATCTCATGCAATACATTGTGAACTCCAAAACACTCAGAAAACCAGTCTGAAATATTTTGCTTAACCGAGTCATCTTCCAAGAAAACATTTGGGAGATATATATAGACAGGACATAAAGTAAAGCTAATTAAAGAAGATTCATCTTCACTACTTTGTAGTCTAAGATTTTTTGTTGCTTCCTTTGAATATATTCTTGCTTGGCAGTGGAGAAAATATGAACATTGCAGATTTTTCTGAACTTTATTTTGCTTGCTTTCCACTCAAAAGCGACGCACACTTCTATTCTCTCTCACTCTTTATATTAGGTTCTGCATTTCTCCGGAAGTTATGAGTCCTTCGATAAGTAGTTTTCGAACTTTTAATCATGTCTCGGTTAGCTCATCTCTTACTATCCCTAGATGTTTAGCATCTTTTCTTTTGCATCATGATGGAACGCCTTAAAAATCTTATCTCGTATATTTGTCTTCTGTTTAGTGAGTTTAAGAATATTAAGAAACGTATATATTTGATGGACATATGAATACTAAATCCTTGACATTAGTTAAACTTCGTACCTACCAAAATCTTGGTTCGTGCTTGTCATTGAACCTGATACCTAGGAGTTTCTGTTTGCCAATGTAACCACGAAGGCACGGAGGCTGACAGGCCACAAACACACACCATACTGGAATTGGGAACAAAAGAACAGCATAAAACTTTCACTTGTCGTTAAGGATAAGATGCCATCTTATTTTTTGGCATGTCTTACTCTCTGTATATTTCATTGCAGACACGTAGTAGGTACTGACTTTCAGTTCTAGCTAAGAACAACTAGAAGGTCTAAGAATTATCGAGACACAAAATTTAAGTTCAGCATAAAACTCCTTTACTAGATTTTGCAGAAGAGAGAAATTATACACTTCACTAATCACGCTTGGTTGACTATAAGTCCAGAGCTCTCATTCCTGTTGATAACTTTTGAATTGAAGATTCTATGTCAACCTGTTATAATTTGGCTGTTCTGTTACCATTCGGCAACAAGATTTTGCTACTTGTAACCTAACTCTTCCTCCTTTGGGGAATTTGGGAAGAAGTTACTTACCCGGTATGTTCAAATTATGTTTAGAGTTCAAATTTAAACACAGCATCTAAACTTGCACAATAAGTTATATGACCGTTGCCAACAACCCCTTGCCAGCTACGGCAAGTGAGGCTTGAACTGTTATTGAGTTTAAAAAGAAAATCTAGTCATGTTCATTATTCGGAATGTCAATTATGTTTTTGCTCGAAATGTTATATAATTATGATGCCGTTGGCAACGGTCTCTTGCCATCTATAGCATATCTAGAATTGGTAGATTTATAGCATTTGGAAGGCAATTGACTGTATTCAACGGTCGTTTTCCATGGTACGATTTTTACCTTTCTTATAGTCTATGACCTGAAATGGCATGATGACCTGTTTTGGACGAGGCGGTTAGGTAAACTCATAGTATAAATTCGGGTCTAAGTGTTCGAGTTAGTAGCCACTGTGTGTTTGTTGCTAAGCTGTAGCCTCATTCAGTACAAAAACAAATATGGCTGCAAGACCTCTCCTAGATATGCTAAATGCTAATCGGATAGTGCCTATCCGGCACATTTCATGGACTCCGCCCCCCAATAATGCATGGAAGATCAGCTTCACTGGTCACCATGAGCCGGAATCAAGGACTGGTTCTTTTGCTTGCATTGTGAGAGATCACAATGCTGTATTCAAATCTGCCATTGCTGGACCTTCAGGCAAGGTCAGGGACGGTTTGGCAACGCATTTGATTGCTTTCTCCCGGGCAATTGAGTTTGCCATGACAGAAGGCATTGATTACCTACAGATCGAAGGTAATCATCCATTTCTGTTTCAGATGATAACAGGTGAGACCAGGATACCTGACTCCGAGACCAGGGAACTTGTTTTTCGTTGCATTCATGACTTGCAGAAGTTTAGGAGTGTGACATTCCGCTCGGTCACTAGGGGTGACAATTCTGCCGCTAACTTGCTTGCCAGGATTGCTGCGGAGCGCAAGCGAGTCGAGTTTTGGGCCGACATCCCTCCTAAGGATGTAGCCGAAAGCCTAGTACTGGATGTCATCGGCCGTTGGGTGCTTCCTTAAACTTTGAGGAAGCCATCATCTTTTCTTCCAATATAGTTTGATTGTATTTCAAACTTAAAGTCAAATAAGGGAGAAAGATTAAGGTTAGATACATTGAGGTTTAACTCTTGTGGTTGTACTAATCGTGTAATAACCAAGTTAAACTTGTCTTAGTTTACTACAGTGGAAATTTTGACAATAGTCAATATTAATTATGATTAATAGTGGGGTTTTTATTACCTATGAGTTTCATGCTTGTCTATATCTGTTTCGCTAGCGATTGTGGCACTTGTCTTTAATACACATGAAGCGCAGAGGCTAAAAGAGATGTGTTTAAATCACTCGCGTTATTTGTTCTCATACTTGACACAGTTGATACGACATAATGCTGAGGTTTTTTATTTATTTTATTTTATTTATTTATTTATTTAATTTATTAATTTAATTTTATATGTTTTTTAACAAACAATATTATCTACACTATGGAGGTCGGGGGATTGGGCTAAGTCTCACAATAGGCTGGTAATAATGTAATTCAAATTTGCCTTTGACGAGAATCAAACTTAAGACATCTAACTTACAAATGAAGAGGAATACTATTAGACTACAATATTAAGTGGCAAAAACCCTCTTTTTATGTACTTGAACTTCTCCGTACCACTCAACATATGTACTCTTCTACTTTTGTGTAGGGGAAATCAACGAGATAAGGAGGAGACTTATTCTGGTGTAGTACTCTTTTTCTCTTCTTACACCCCTCTTTTGTTTCTACTTTTAATTTATTTTGATATATTCAATCCAAGCTTGAAAAAAAAATAGAGTGTGGAAATTACTTCTCTTATTTTGGAGGTTCATACTTTTAATGTTAGAGAAATTTAAATCGGTACCAGAAATACAAATCACATTGTGTACCATTCAATGTGTTATAATAAGAATTATAATTTGAGTTAAATATTAATGTGTTTTATGTACGTAGAAAAAGTACTCAGTAATCTTGATTTCCAAGAGCTAATAGAAATGTAAAATCTCAAGTACAAAAAAAAAAAAAACTTGTTTTGGGCTTGAAATAAAACCAGGGCTAAATCTAACATATCAGACGTTTGGGCCTAGATCCGACATATCGGAATGTTTTTTGGTCAGACATCACATTGTTTCGGCCGTTGGACATTTTAAAAGCAGACACTAAAACCCACGGCAACGGTAACTTTCATGTCCCGTTTTGTCCTCCTTCCCCTTTATTCTGCTCCAAAACCAAACTTCCCAACACAAAAGATCTTAGCTTTTGCGACCAAAAAACACCAAAGTTGTTAGCTTTTCACTTCGTTAATGGACGTAGAAGAAGAAACATATTATCTCACTTCACTCAGACAGCAAGAAGAAGAAGAAGAGAGAGAGAGTTTTTTAGCTTTGAGCTGCGCTTGCAAAGTGGTGGAGTATTTGCAGCCAGTGATGTCAAACGAACTGCTCTGCAAGTTCCCGGACAACTCCGCCTTTGATTTCGACTACTCGCAGAGCTCAATATGGTCCCCGTTGGTCCCCCGGGCTTATGCTCCCATGGATTTGGACCTGGATTTGGATTTCGCGACGCCGCGTAAGCTCAATTTTGAGATGGGGTTGGAAGTGAAAAATCAGAACAGCCTCGTCGAAGCGGGTTCCGGCATTAAGAAGAAGAAGATCCCCACAGCCACAACTTGTTTCAATCTGAATCGGAGTGCTCTGAAGAACAAGCTGATGAAGAGGAAGAAAAGCAAGATGGTCTTGGCCTCTGATTTCTCTCCGACTCCTGTTAACGTTAACTGTAACCCCATAGCCTCGAAGGTACTACCTTTTTTTGGTAATCTGTGTTCTTAGATTTTTAATTCGTTTTTAATTTTTTAATTTTTTTTAATATTTGATTGAGATTCTGAGATTTACCCATTGGAAGTTTAATCAATCAATATGGTAACTGAAAATTTTTGGTTGATCCGTTTTTTGATCTCTAAGATATAAGTATGTGTAATTGGTGTTCAGGTGTGGAATAAGGTGCTGAAAGCTGCCTCTAAGCATTTCAAGAAAAAGAAGAGAGATCCAATGGATCATGTGAGGTTCTCCAATTATTTGAGACCAGATGGAAATGTATGAAGGAATAATTTTAATTCCTCATTTGTAATTCTTTATTGTTTCATTTAATTTTTTAAATTCGTTTAATTGTCTTTGTAATCTGGATGATGAATAAGGGCAACATTACTTCGTAGAAGAAATATGTTCTCTTTGTCCTTAAAATTCCATTTTCCTACGTTCCTCCAATATAGGAATTTACCTGGGGTAGTGATTTCCGCACTTGCTTTGCTCATTCGGCATTTGTTGTGTTTCTACCTCTTGATTTATTCCACATGCTAGAAAAAAGAAACAAAGGAGTGCATGAAGAAAACAGAGTGTGAAAATCACTTATCGTTAAGTCCATTGCTCAAGCAAACCATGCATTAATAAACATTGCACTAGAATTGTTATTGAGCACACAAAATCAGTTGCTTTTACTTGATTTTTTTCTTAGAAAAAGGAAGACAATTGGTGGTAAACCACGGTTATTCACTTATTCCAAGCCCGAAAAGACTATGGGGAATTTCACATTGCCCGTAATTACAATCAAGCAACTAAGATCAGTCGCACATGCACAAATGGACAAATCCTAGTTATTTATATATGTAGTTCCCCAAAATAAAAGCAATTATATTGTGCCGTGAGCATATGTACGACTAATCCCATCATTCCTCCTTTTTGTCAAGGCTTGCCAACATAACCTCAATCAAATGTCGAAACGTAGTAGAGGAAGATCCACCATCTCCAACAGCCTTCCTACACACTTCACTCATCTCCTCAACCCTCTTCCTCACCTCACCATCACCGTCCATCACACACCTCACAGCCTTCTCGATCTCATCCGCCACCACAAAATGATTACCACCGTCCCTTCTGTAGTCCAATCTCAGCTCCACGGCCAGTCCCAAATCCCTCACCATCTGAGAGGCATTAATCTGCTGCTCTGCAGACACAGGCCAAGTCACAATAGGGACACCATGCCACAAGCTCTCTAATATGGAGTTCCACCCACAGTGCGACACAAACCCTCCAGTCACTCTGTGGGCCAAGACCTCCACTTGTGGGGCCCAACCACACAAAATACCAACATCTTTGGTCCTCTCCAAGAATCCTGGAGGCAAAAACTTGTCATGATTTGCGTACTCACCTGCCATTACATTTTATAAGCTTAGAAATGTTCACAAAATTTACACTTGGAGGGGATGAGACCAAATTCACTAACAAGTTGAAAAATAATGATTAAATTATCTACGAGAGTAAGAGAAGTAATGTTTGATAAGTTGCTACTTACTTAGACAAAAAATATTAAATTTTCATTTTGGATTTTATTTTTCAGTAAATTGTAAGAGACTTGTTATATACTTAAATGAACACTCATTATATGGTTGTTCTTCATGTTTTGAATATGTTTTAGTACTTTATGATTTTATGTCATGTTATTTTGCAATTTAAATCCAATAATTATTTATAATCTTAAAGTATAAACATTTATTTATATGTTACATAATAAATTTAATTAAAATAAAAAATGGGCCTAGGCCCGTCTAAATGTATAGGCCCTAAGCCCTTGCATGTCGCCTGATTAGCAACTAATGCATTTTAAAACCTCAATTTACATTGTTATGCATGTTTCTTAATTTTATTTTGATTCAAATATTAATTCAAAATTCAAAATAAAAAAAATTATATATATACATAAAAAATGTGCTAAAATCATTTTCCGAAAATGAATTGTCTCACCTGGCATTACAAACTGGCCCGCAGGTGGCGTTTTCCGTACGGACCACAAGAATTTCTTACCCCTCTTTTCTAATCCAACCGCAATCTCTCTCAGTTGGGCCTCATCAAAACTTCCAAAGCTCCCAAAGCAGAGGAACACCACTGATTTCGGAGGCTGATCTTCAAGCCACGTCATGATCTTTCCAAATTTGGCCCGATCAGACGGCTGCACATGATGCTCACCAATCAAGGGTCCCATCGTGTAAACAGGAGGGATTTCAGTCTCACAATCCAAAAGTGAGCCAACCGCATGGTACTCCAGCTCAAAAATTGTGTTGACGACTATACCCTTGGTTTCCTTGAACCTCCTAGCATGGTTCGCAAAGCAACTGTACCCGGTGTCCATGTAAGCAAACGAAGGAAGCACATTTGCAGGAACTGGGTTGACATAACTCGGCACAACAGACTCAGGGTCTGATGGTTTGAAAAATGTGCCGAGTCGGTCATACCGGCCCGGAAGGTGGAGGAGAAGCCCTAGAAAACCAGCCCCGGAAGTGAAAAATAGATAAGATGGAACCTTGAACTCATTGGCTACGTCAATCATGGTGGTGCAGAACATATCAATAACCAAACCAGAAACGAAGGAGTTGGGCAGAACATGGTCAGCTATGGCGTCTCTGACGTGGGACTTGTAGTTCTCTATGTAAACTGTGGCGTATTTCTCCACAGATTGTTGCAGAATCTCGAATGGGCGGTTCACACCGGGAAGGTCTATGATTTTTATGTGGGCGTGGGAGGCTGCAATGTTGGATTTATCCAATATAAATCAACCTTTAAGTGGTCTACTATATGTAATAGGAATGTAATATTGGAGAATAATGTTAATTGTGATTTGATCTCTTAAAGATATCAATCCTATATAAGGTGTCTTATATTGAAAATAGGATTGATGGAATCCTTAATAATATATGATTATGATATTTTACTTGAGAGCCAAGAAAGGAGAGTTTTAGTTTTCCCTTATGGACGGAATCTAAGACTTTTTGGCTAGTATATAAACACCGGTCCCTGCTAACCCTAGACACGACAACTAAGGCTTCCCATAGAGCATTGTCATAAAGCTAGGAGTTTACAGAAGAGTTGGTGTTTTTTTTGTTTGTCACGGCAAACATAAAGATTGGAGTTTTATCGATCACGTTTTGCTTGCATGGCTGCTATATCTTCGATAACTACCATTGGAATCAGGTCAGTCACTCATTCGTTTGTGTTTTAATTGTATAACCCAATAAGGCTAACAATTGGTATCAGAGCCATTGGTTATATAATTAAAACCTATTAAGATTAAAGTTTGATTAAAGTTGTCGAGAAAAAATTGACAAAATTGAATCAGAATCAGGTTTCTTCGGCAATGACTAAGAGCTGATTAAGAAGGGAAATCAGGATTAGGCAATAGCATTGCGCAGACTTTTTGATATATATATATATATATATATATATATATATATATATATATATATATAATTCATTGTACTATTAAGTGTGGAGAAATACAATTCACATGTCTTGAAAAATTTGTGCAACCCATAACATCAATTGCCGTGAGTGAAATCATCAAATTTGACCGCTGTATTCCTTTTCTCTTTCAACAACATAGGGTCACAAATCACAGAGCATGGTTTTAATCTCTGCCATTTTTTATTGGATTATGCTAATTAAAATCATATTCATATCACCATGTTTTCGTTCAGGCTGAATAAAGTCATCTACCATAGCATAATGGTTTGTTTCATTGACTTCAATTTTCATGATGATTTATGGTATTGTATTTTGGTTGATATGTATTTGGTTGGATCCCTGAAGCTTAAATTGGTTATAAGGTTAAAATATACTTGCATGAGTGATGTGCTAATATTGTAGATACTTCAACCATCAGTGCCGTCTTAGTAAAGAGGCCCATATGGTTGTCTCTCTTAAAGTTAAAACCAACCATACACAAGAAAACACTTCCCGAGAGAAGACAAATGCTAACAAGCCTTTGGGGGTGATGAGTATACCTCAAATAGTAAGCACTGGAGATCTATTTCCTTTTGTGAAGTACGACTCATGAATTTATTCTGCGGCATTTTTGTGTCTTCATATTTGGGTCACAAACTAGCGTTAATGAGCTCGGCAAAAGTGTAGGTTATATACAATTATAATCTCAAGTTTTGTAAACATGTATGTTCTAACCTTGCATTGGAGAATTTCTTGAGATTTCTTCGTCGAGCAAGCCCAATGAAGAGGTTCGTATATACATCGGTATATGAAATTCTGGTATGATCTTTCCTTTTGGTCTTCATGATAAATTATATAAGGAATGGTTATGTTGGATTCATAAAGTGTTATATTATTCCCACAATCCAACCATGTCGTGACGTCTTACTGATTGTAGGAGACGGAATTAGTCATATTCTATAATTTATCAATACTATTGGAATATGTTGTGCCTATGATTGTGATAACATATGTTAAAGTTGTGTTGTAGGAATGCATATGCTAAGTTTATATATGTCTATATTTAAAAGCAGGTCAATATAAATTTTGGCAATTTTTGTTATTGCATCTATAACATCACGGATATGTTTCAAAGATGTGTAAGGTGACACAATTTCTTCCATGACCGTAGCATATGATAAATTGTAACTAATTTGCTTGAACCAAATTTTAATATTGTTAAGCAAATGGCGTGTATAGTGTTGCTTGTATGGCTAATTTGGTTCAAGCATGAGATAACATATTTTTAATATTGCCATGGGTTTTGGACTATAGTGAATTGTAGTGTTGTTTTCACTAATTTTCACGAGATGTGAATGAACTTTTATGCCATTAATAGCACAAGAAATATGCATGATTAATCAATAAAGTTTGTCTACAATTTGCTTTCTTATCTCAAAAGTCATTTAAATTATACATGACTAGTTACTTGTGAAAAATTGATGTATAATTTTTGTAAATTGACTGAGAATGACAGAAAGCATCCAGTGACAAGAACAAGGGTATTATACAAATGAATAAGGTTTGTAGTAATTATGTGACCATTCTCATTTGTATTTTTTATCTATTCTTATATGAGAATTTTGATTGGTCATGTGATTATACATATGTTTACAAAGAAGTGGTGAACATATGAAGGCATGAGGTATGTAATCCATTTCAAGTATGTGGCTTAATTGATAAGCATGAATTTTCAAACATGTATTATTGTTTTGTGGTTTTTCCTATTCCTAAAGAATTTAAACAGTACTTTGATTAGTAATTTTTATGTGTCGTAAGGGGAGAAGAAAAGAAACTTATACAAGCCTAATGTATGGCATGTATTGGAGATGTTTCTTTTGAAAGAAAAGAATTTTGGTAGTTCCTTCGTTTAATTTGGTATTTACAAGGCTAATGCACGATTTTGATGCTAATGATTTAGGAGCCTTGTACTACGGAAAGAAATGTACAAAAGAAAAGGAACCCGTTTGACTTAAGAAAACATTTGAACAATTTAGTTTTTAAATTAAAGGAATGTATTGTTCTTTCCCATTACATAAAGTATTTCTATTGAGTAATTGACTCCATAATGATAAGTTTTGACATTCTTGTGGTGGAATAAAACTTGTTCTATATGTGATTAATCTCTTTCAAGTATGCTGTCAGGTATTTTTGAGATTAATTTGATGTCAAAGGGAGTCATGAAGGAATTAGTGCCATTTGTTGGCAAAAACTCAAAGCTCGAATCAGTTTATCATAATTTTGTCACTTACAGTTAATTAATCCATGTGACTTCTTGTATTGTTTCAGGGCGGAGTTGACCAATGCCTTTTCAACTAAGCAAGACGCAACGGCTTAATTTGCAATGGGACTATGTTTTTGAGTTACTTCGGTCAACTTTGCATCTTAATTAGAATAAAAGGGATAATCTTCTTGCCTACAGGTGTGGATTACTTCTTTTAGTTTAATTAAGATGGCATAGTATGGGTTTCATTTCACAGAAGTTGTGAAAACCTTCATCTTGCCTACAGGTGTTGAAGTTTTTCATGAAGGAACTTTTGTGACATAAAATCTAGTACTAGAAACTAGTTAATTTTCTTGCCTACAGGTGTAAATTAATTTTAGTTTCATGAAGTTTATTGGGATAAAGTTCCACGCCATTAGTGACAAATATTTCCACAATGAGCCCCATAAAAGGTTGTGGTTTGAAGGCATGGAAATCGGTTGCATCATGATGTATTTTGTATCTCTTTATGAGACTTGTTGATGCAAAGTATTGGACCCATGAAGGTTAATCAATGATTGCTAAGGTACGCATTGTTTAAGTCTTATGCTTGTAAATCTTTTTCAATTTGAATTATGATGTCGGTTTAGAGGATGAAATTTGACTACTACTAAAGTTTCTTTTGGACATCGAAATTGAAATGATATGAAATTGAATTTGTTATATAAATTCATGATAGATGCACATAATTGTTTCTGGCAGATTGCGTGTCTTGATTTAAATCGGGTGAATGACACGTCTAATGATCACCAAATGACCTGAATTTTGGATATGTTCAACATATAAATGTCTACTATGTGTCTGAAAAGTTTCGTAATTTTCTGCCATGTATGTTAATTATGGTGAATTTACTAGTAACCCATGCTCGTATAGACAGTTTTTACTGGCAGATTGTGATGTTTTTTGAGACGTGACTTTAGACTACTATTTTGACCCAAAATGGCTCTCTATTTCTATTTTATGAAGATTAGTATGTCTATTTTGATCAATATAAATTTGGTAGCAATCAAGCTTGTAAATTAATTATGATAAATTCTAAAGTAAGTGTAACTCATTGCTAAAATTCTGTTTGACAACTTTATCTTGGTTGTGCTGTCTATTTTATTATGTCTAATATATAAAGACATTTTCTTTAGGTACATCTTTGAAAGAATATATTAATGAGTGTTTACCCAAGTGGGAGAATTAGTGAACGAAAATTGGGCTTCACACTCATTAACTTATTTGCAAGCATAAACTCTGATAACTTAGTGGGAGTTGTTCTAAACTTTTGAGCACTAAGTGGACTTGCATGAATCTATTAAAGCATTATTCTATCTTCCATGAATTTGTGTTACTTGAATGTCTATAATATGTTTAAGTTGCAAAAATGGATACTTGGTATATGCGTACATTTTCTATTACTTGCAATCATTTAGATTTCTCGATTGATCATATTGTTTTGGGGCTCATAAGGACTTAGCATAAATGTGGACTTATTAATACATATAAGATGGTTGTTGGATGCACATTTTTTGTGTAAACAGCAGTGAATGCTTTCATGCTTAGTTATACCTTTTTATTGAGGTAATATGCATTCATTGACTAAGTAAGGCTATTCCCAAAGGCAGTATGATTTAAGTGACTTTTGATTTGCAAATTAAGTAACGATGTTGCAGATCAGTGGGAGTTTGAGTTTCGTGTTAGTAATGCCTTACATTTGCAGATGACCTATAAAGTATGTATAGAATCCATGTATTCATATTAATCTCCAGTTGGATTCATTAAGTCACATTTTTCGTGTGCTAGTCAATCATCTGATGAAATATATATCAGATTTCAAGTTGTTATCAAATTGCATATTAAATGTCATGGCATGGTTTGTGCACTACCTCAGTTGTGAGGATTTCCATCTTGCCCGCAGGTGTTGGAAATCACTATGAAAGTAACTGGTATGGTGCATAGATTAGTGTCAAAAACATATTAATTCATCTTGCTCACAAGTGTTGAATTAATTTGTTTTATGAAGTTTTTGGGATATATTTTACTTGGACATGTGCCTATTTGGTATTTTCAGTTGTGTCCGTTGGCTACAAACATCGTTTGTATTATTATTGATCTAATGAAAGTGATGCATGATTGTTTTGGAGATGTATTCACACCTGCAGGTTATGGTGGTTTCATTAGATGAAGGATATCTGCATTGGCAGATTTAAGGCTTCGAAGAAGCATAAAGTGTAACTTGTGAGTTACAATAAGGTGGACCTGAGATGATATAAAGTAAGACATTTTGGTTAATTTAAAGTTTAATTTTAAAGTTTCATCTCTTGATCATAATTTGTGTTTCATGTGAATGAGGATCTTAGCATGTGTGATTATGAAGGTTCTGGGTTGTGTCAACTTTACAACCTTGTTAGTTCCATGTTAAGAAATGCATTTGACAGAAGCTGCATTAAGGACGAGATATAATCACTGTTACATGGCCACTAAAGTGACATTAGTCTCCAATCTCAAGTATAAACATGAATATTACAGTTTGTAGACCAAGTGGGAGAATGTTGGATTTATCCAATATAAATCAACCTTTAAGTGGTCTACTATATGTAACAGGAATGTAATATTGGAGAATAATGTTAATTGTGATTTGATCTCTTAAAGATATTAATCCTATATAAGGTGTCTTATATTGGAAATAGGATTGATGGAATCCTTAATAATATATGATTATGATATTTTACTTGAGAGCCAAGAAATGAGAGTTTTAGTTTTCCCTTATGGACGGAATCTAAGACTTTTTGCAAGGAAACTTCTACATCGGATGCTAATTGGCTCGATTAATGAAACTTCCAATTTGGTGGCCAGTTCACTTCAGGTTAGCCAGCATGTAAACTTACAATATGATGGCCAGTCCACCTCAGGTTAGCCAGCATGTTGTTTATGGCTCTACTAGAACATTGTAAATGGGCATAAATTCAAGGTAAATCTTTTTTGCCCATATCGATGGTGGAGGTAGACTCAGCAAGGCTTATACAAGCCATGAAACTAGATCCAATGGCTGTACACAGGCTACGACATAGAAGCAAATTAAGGGACAAAGAACAAAAATGTAATTAATTTGACAGACATGCTCTTGAAGTTTAATATTTTTCATTAAATAAAGTTATTAGAAGACTTTTGGTTAAAATTCAAAATTTTGAAACCTTTGTGTAGCTTTTTTTTAATAAAAAGAAGATATGTGTAAGTTTTTATGTATATATTTTTAATTTAATGACACAAAATGTCACACGATAATATACCGGTGCCATGTAAATTATTCTAATATAGATGGCATATCATTTCTCCATTTGCTACCTCACTTCATACATCAAGCACTACACGTCTACAACTACAAGTCGTTTCACTTTATTTTCGATTGGACCATATGATCATGAGATTACAATTGGACTAGGAGGAGTTGGCAAGGCAATGGTCCATACGCCGGCCACCACAAAGGATGTGATTTGATAACACCCATATATTGAGGTTTTTTGTAATTTCATAAAAAAAAATCCTTGAGATTTTCAAAATTACAATAGCACTCCTTGAGTATAAAATTGATTTCACAAAACTCCATTTACTAAAATTTCATCTGAAAACTTGTCATATCATAAAAAAAAGTTATGAGATTACACGGACATCCCTTGGAGGTAACTACATGGACACCCCTTGAAATAATCTCATCAGGTTTATTACTTTTTCACATAATCGTCCTGAGGTTTTAACTGTTACAATATATAAATACATTATGACCTTACAAAATTGAACGAGCCAAACCTCTGAGTTGCCATGAGCACTATGTGTAAGGATATAGATATAGACAGTGGCTAGGATTGTGCCATCTCAGTTTATGTCTGCCATGGTGGCAAATGACTCTGGTGGTCCTAAATTCTCTGCGTCTCAACATCAATATGGGGGTCTTCCTCCAGGTGCTTCAGGACATAATTTTGGTTCCTCTGGTGGATATCGCTCTTTCTACAACAATAAGAAGGGTAAAGGAAGATCTAATCAGGGATATAGGTATCCTCCTCCTAATCCAAGACAGCAGTTTCCAGCTCATGGATCTCATCCTGCACTTGTATTCTCTGGGGTTCTTGGACCCTCTCCATCACAGTATCTTGGCCGTTCCTCTCCACAGCAAGTTCCTTGTCAATTGTGTAATCAACTTGGTCACACTGCTCCGTTTTGTCATTCAAAACCGTTGGAACGATAGGGCTGTCAAATCTGTGGTAAGAGGAATCATACTACCTGGTATTGCTTCTTTAATGACAAAGGTCCCAATTTTGGTGGCCCACATTATCCTCATATGTCAAGCAATGCGTATGCTCATTCTGCACCTACTTTCTCTCATCAGTTCAATTTTCAGGCTCTGCATACAGTCTCTTCTCCGTCATCTTCAGCTACCACACCTCATCATCAACCACAAATTTGGCTCACTGACTCGGGGGCCACAAATCATATGACTACAGATCTCAGTAATTTGTCATTGGCCTCTCCCTATCCCTCTAATGAGACATTGCAAACTGCTAATGGTGCAGGTTTGGAAATATCTCATATTGGTAGTTCTATTATTCAAACACCTGTGCAGCCCCTCAAATTGAACTCAATTCTCTCTGTGCCTAAACTATCTCACAATTTGTTGTCAGTTCATCGCATTTGTCTTGATAACAATTATTGGTTGGTGTTTGATGCTTTTTGTTTCTGGATCCAGGACAAAGCCACATGGAGGATATTATACAAAGGCCAATGTAGTCATGGACTCTATCCTATTCCTTCTCTTGTCAATCATCATTCCTTTCCTTCTCACGGCAATTCTAAAGATTTTGCATTGCTTGGACAACTTGTTAGTTCTAATCTCTGGCACAATAGGTTAGGACACCCGTCAAATAATGTTGCTTCTCTTATGCTTAGTAGTTCTCACATATCTTGTACCAAAGATTCTGCTCCTATGCTCTGTCATAGTTGTTTAGAGGGCAAGTTCACTAAATTGCCTTTTCAGTCTAATGAACACAAATCTGTAATTCCATTTGAAATTGTACACAGTGACCTTTGGGGTCCTTTTCCGTGTAATTCCATTGATGGATACAAGTACTATGTGACTCTTATTGATGAGTGCACTAGGTATTGTTGGTTGTTCCCTCTTGTTAATAAATCAAACTTCTTTGAGACTTTTGTTGTCTTCTACTCCTTTGTACACACTCAATTCTCTGCTTCTATGAAGATTTTACAAACTGATGGTGGTAGGGAATATAGCAGCAATAAACTTACCAACTTTCTTCACAGTAAAGGGATACTTCATCATAAGTCTTGTCCACATACTCCAGAACAAAATGGCTTGGCTGAGAGAAAACATAGACATATTGTTGAAACTACTGTCACCTTGTTACAATCTGCCAAGTTACCTTCTTCTTTCTGGACTTTTGTTTGCCAAGTTGCTGTCTATCTTATAAATCGAATGCCTACTCCAGTTTTGAAGCATTGCTCACCATTTGAAATGCTTTTTGGGACTCCTCCTTTTTTAACACATCTTAAGGTGTTTGGATGTTCTTGCTTTCCTTTATTGAGACCTTATATTCAATCCAAGTTACAAGCTAAAACCACAGAGTGTGTCTTTCTTGGGTATGCATCCAATTACAAAGGTTTTATTTGCTTTGATGTGCTACAGGGTAGGTTCTACATTTCTAGGCATGTAGTGTTTGATGAATCTAGATTTCCCTACCCTCATTTGTCTTTATTACCTAAGCACAACCCTGTCCCATCTTCTTTCTCTCATTCTTCCTCACCTCTTCCATTCACAACCTTGGATAATCTCTTAGTTCCATCTCCACCATCACACTCATCTTTACCATCACCCTCTTTATCTACTGAGATAATATCTTCACCCTCTTTATCTACTGAGATAATATCTTCACCCTCAGTTTCTTCTCAGTCCATTACTGCTACTACAAGTGGTGCTCCTCAACTCCCCGTGGACTCTGATTTTAGTCCTGATTTACTTCCAGTGGTCTTACCAATTGCTCCCCTTAATTTGCATCCTATGCAAACCAGAAGTAAGAATGGTATCTTCAAGAAGAAAGTGTTTTTGAGTCATGTTGCTGATTCTAGCAATGTTGATTTAACTTTGGTAGAACCTGCCACATACAAGTCTGTAATGAAAGTACCAGTTTGGTTTCAAGCTATGCAGGAAGAAATTGATGCATTGCATCATCAACACACTTGGAGTCTTGTACATTTGCCTCCCAATAAGAATCTTGTTGGCTGCAAATGGGTTTTCAAACTCAAAAAGAATTCAGATGGAACAGTGGCTCGACATAAAGCTCGACTTGTTACAAAGGGGTTTAGTCAAGAGCCTGGCTTGGATTATGGTGAAACCTTTAGTCCAGTGGTTAAACCAATCACTGTGAGGTTAGTTCTAGCTTTGACAACTCATTTTAATTGGAATCTTTGACAATTGGATGTCAAGAATGCGTTTTTACATGGATTTCTAACTGAAGAAGTGTATATGGCCCAACCCCCTAGTTTTGGAGATGCTGCACATCCTGAATTAGTTTGTAAACTTCACAAGTCACTGTATGGGTTGAAACAGGCTCCTCGAGCCTGGAATGACAGATTTACAAGCTTTCTTCCCTCTCTTGGGTTTCAATCCACTTATTCAGATTCTTTTCTATTTGTTAAGCTAGTTGGTAGTGATATTGTGGTGCTTTTACTCTACGTTGATGATATCATTATCACTGGTAGTTCTACTCCACTTATTCAACAGGTGATTCATTCTTTAGCTGCTGAATTTGATATCAAGGACTTGGGTGCGCTTCATTATTTTCTGGGCATTCAAGTTACCAAAACTGCTTAAGGGTTGTTTCTTTTCTAGTCTAAATATATTACGGATTTGTTGCAGAAAGTTGAGATGATGGATTCTAAAGCTTGTGATACTCCTTGCTTACCTAATAATAGGTTACTTAAGGATGATGGTACTCCTTACAACAATCCCACAGTTTATCGCAGTATTGTTGGTGCCTTACAGTACCTCACGTTTACTCGCCCAGATATTGCATTCTTAGTTCATCAAGTGTGTCAATTTATGCAATCTCTAATGGTGTCACATTTTACAGCTGTTAAGCGGATTTTGAGGTATCTCAAGGGGACATTATCTGTTGGCATGGCCTATACTCGGGGCGATTTGACACTGAAAGCATTCAATGATGCATATTGGGCTGGTGATCCCAATGATCGGAGGTCCACTACTGGTTTGGTTATATTCTTGGGCAACAATCCTATTTCTTGGTCCTCCAAGAAACAAAACACTGTTTCTCGTTCTTCCACTGAAGTAGAATATAGAGCTATGTCTACTACATCTGCCGAGCTGGATTGGATTCAATAGGTGTTGGAATTTATGCATATCAAGTCTGCTACTAATCCTGTTCTCTTCTGTGACAATCTTTCTGCCATAGCGTTGTCCTTTAATCCCGTTCAACACCAACGCACGAAACATATTGAGATTGATGTGCACTTTGTGCGTGAAAGGGTCGTTAAGAAGCAACTGGTTGTTCAGTTTGTATCCTCTCGAGAACATTTGCTGATATTCTGACTAAGGATCTCAATGCCCCTCTGTTTCGGTCTCATTGTTTCAACCTCATGCTTGGATCATCCACTCATGAGTTTGAGGGGGCATGTAAGGATATAGATATAGACAGTGGCTAGGATTGTGCCATCTGTCACAGGATTATAACTCTTAGTTAGTTAAGTTGTTAGAGAATGTGTTCTTTCTATAAATACATCATTGTAATAGTTTTGAGATTAAGCAAAACAGAAATAATAGATTCGATAGTTTTCTCTCTCTAAATCTTTCCCTCTCTAGTTCTTGAAGCTCTGTTCTTCTCTCTTGATCTCTTCATTTTCTGTATTAACACTATGTTGACCAAGAGTAAAAGGTCGTACCCAGTGCACAAGGCTCCCGCTTTACGCAGGGTCTGGGAGAGGTGAATGTCGGCTAGCCTTACCCCCATTTATGGAGAGGCTGCTCCCAAGTCTCGAACCCGAGACCTACCGCTCATGGGCGAAGGCACTTGCCATCGCACCAAGTGCGACCTCTTATGTTGACCAAGAGTGAGAAAGAAAAAAAAAAAAAGAATCAAGAAATAGGAGGTGTAAAAGAGTAACGTATGTCAAGTTGCTATATCAGTTGAGAGCATATTTTGGATGTTCCATTGTTGCACACTCTTGAGTATTATTTCTATCTCTTGTTATTCCATTGTTAAATATGTCATGCGCTCATCAAAATTCCAACACATCCAGTATCGCATATGTATCAGATGAAAAGTAAAGGGATTAAAAATAGACTTGTCCACGTTAAATAGCCAGGTCATCCACTTAATTTTCCCATTACACATGTCAAAGGGTGCATTTCTAATCTCTCCAAATAACACGTTTCTTTGGATCCAGCCATCCAGGGCGCTTGCTGATCGAGGTGAAGCTTAATTAGCAAAACTGCAGATAAGCATCGAGGGCAGCCAAAATAGGAGATTAAAGAAATTTTCAAGGAAAGAAGATTACACCATCTTCAAAGGAAATGTCAAATTATAAGAATCAAATTACAATTGATGACTGATATGGCAATTTGAAGTTTATGTCAAATTTTGTATTTCTCCAATAGAATTGTGAAATATTATTTTATTATTTAAATAGAATTTTAAATTCTTGTAATTATTAAAAAATTTCAAAATTTTTATTGGTTCAAATGTTAGTGGAATAAGAGACCCACGATTAAAATGAATTAAAAATAAATTTGACATTGATGTCAAATTTGATTCCAAATCACAAAGCCTTCAACTCCAGTATGCAAATAACACTTTGGTTAGAGATATTTTTTATGTCAAATATGCACAGTGACATTCCACTTACGATTTTGACATCTCCATTGAAAATGTTCTTAGCATTCAAACAAATTAAGGTAAGGGAGACAAGGAATCAAAATAGGTTTGATTTCCTCTAAGAGGAATGCTGGCTACATTCTCCACTTGCCTTCCCCTATTTGTCTTTCCCACTCAATAGATGCCATGTGAATTTATCTTACACTCAAATCTATGTCTTAATTTTTTTTAAAATTTCTTTCTTCTCTTTTCACTAATGCCCCTAGTTAAATCTCATATGTCAACTAAATCATTAAATTATCTTCTAAATTTGACAAATTTGCTTTAATCCTGTTTGCGTTTTCTTCTTTTCGATGTTATGCATTTAAATACTAATGAATACTTATGGCTTCTTATGTCATGTTGCTTTTCGAGTTGATACATAATATAATACATGTTTAATGCCTAACAATGCGTGTATAATTTAATGACTGATGAGAAACTAGAAGAATTACATTGAAAAATTATTGTATGGTACTGCAATATTACATGTTTAATACAGCTATAGTCGATTATAAACTAAGGCAATGGACAACAATAACAAAGCATTGACAGGGCCAAAAGAATACATGACCATAAATATTCTTACAGATGACGTCTAGTTTTTCTTAGTAGCACTTGATTCACTAGCATGTCTAAGTTTTTGGATGAGGAACCATGTGGACCAGTAGCTTCTTCTGCAAGCTTCTTCCACATCATAACCTTATTTTTCATCTTCTTACCCTTCTCCCCATCCATTAACTCTCTGACAAGCTTCTCTTCTTCATCCCTCTTTACATCATTACTAATTTCCATGCCAATGCCCCATTCATTGCAACTATAGCGGCAGTCCATCTGCTAGTCGCCGAAGAATGGCCAACAGAGCATTGGCACTCCTGCAGTGAGGCTCTCAACGGTTGAATTCCAACCGCTATGTGTTAAAAATCCTGCCAGTGATGGGTGGTTAAGGACTTGCTCTTGTGGGCACCAACTCGCAATGAGACTTCTTTCTTTTGTTTCATCCACAAACTCCGGCGGCAAAATTGCTGATTGGCCAATTACTAAATCATGTCTAATTACCCAAAAGAAGGGAACCTTGCTGTTTGCAAGTCCCCAGCAAAACTCGACAAGATGTTCAGGTGTCATAACTGTTATACTGCCAAAATTCACATACACAACTGAATTTGGCGCCTTAGTGTTTAGCCAGTCGAGGCATTCTGTTTCTTCTTTCCACAGACTGTATCCAATATTCAAGGGGTGATCTGGTATTTGATTCAGATGTAATTGAAGAGGGCCAATTGGATAAACAAGTGGAAGCATAGATGAGAGAGCTTCCAAAACATCTGGCTCTAAGGCATCAAAAGTTTGAAGAACAACTGCAGAAGCTTCATGAACTCTATCAGTTACCTCCATCATGAAGTTAAACATGATATCGTCGGGATCTGAAGTCCGAATAAAGGTTGGGAGCTCCCTTAAACGGATATCTTTCATTCCTGGAATCCAATCTATAACCTTTTCCAGATATCCATTTGTCAAACAGCTCTCCTCTACCAAAAAAAAAAAAAAAAGAATTTCATTTGCATGTTTAGAAACAAGGAATTAAGAGCGAGCCATAAATTGATTAAAGCTTCTGTTGTATATATAATATATTTTACCTTTGAGTGGTGCCAGACCTTTTTCGATCAAAGCACGAAATTGTATAAGTCCCATGAAGCTGCATGCCGCAATAGTGTAGAACAGCACTATAGGGACTTCAATCTCTTCAGCGGCTGTGATTGTGAACGGGGACATCAAACCATCTGAGAGGATTAATGGATGTTGATAGGGCATCACTGTTGAGATTCATTAGTACGAAAGGGAGCCAATAATTTATGTTTTCTGATTGAATCACAAAGCAATGGGACATCTTGGGTGGCATCTTCTTCTGAATCGGGAAGGCCGTCTGGGATGGCTGCAAACTGGAAATCAGGTGAGCCATCAAGGGAATTGGGGCCCAGAGATTTTAGAAAGCGCTTGTGGTTGTACTCAGTGTTGACAAAGGTAATATGAAAACCTCTATGGTGGAGGAGCTTTGAAAATTTAAGCATTGCCTTGATATGGCCTTGAGCTGGAGCCGGAATGCAAACGGCATGAGGCTTAGTAGCTACTGCTGTGGGATCCATTTGAGGTTTTGTGTTTGCCTTGCATTGCTTGCACAAATGCAGACTGTTTATAGTGCTACTGAGCTACTTTTCTCCTCAGCTACTTTTCTACGTGTCTTGTGATTTACTGTAGGAGGTCAAAAAAAGAGGCGTAGCTGTTAGGCACATTGAACCTAGGAGATGAAGAAGCAAAAGTTGAAATACGGCCCTTTCCCTCCCTGTATGTTATTTCTTGCTTGTCAAGTTGAATCTGATAGATCATTATAATTAATATAAATTAAGGAAAGTTTTCCAGGATTTGTAGGTTACTCATGAAAATAGTTGTCTCTTTTAATCCTTCTTTTTGGGGGGGGATTTCTAGGCATACATTTTTTGCATGAGTAGCCTTTAACTTAGACAAAATAAGGAATTTGCCATCCATTTCTTCATTTTAAATGCCTTCAATATAGTGAATAATCATACCCAAGCCAATCCTCTCTATGATGTTATTTTAGTCCCTAATGCAATGGCCGTAGCTAGTTTTATTGAGATAATGTCCTCTCTTACTTCTCCCTTTTTTCTGTTTTTTTTTTTTTTTTTTTTTTCAGTCTGCTTGTATATCTCATGTATGTGTATTTGGTAGTTGTTAAGACCAGCAATAAGAACACCCGCAAAAGTTTTTATTATCAATAATAATATCCTTATATATATGCATAACATTTACTGGATCGATCCCATTTTGCACCTTCAGGGTAACATGTCATAATTTGATTCCTCTCTCTTGAATTATCAAAATACATATGGTACCGTACCCATCAATTAGGTTTTTTATTTGATAAGATAAGGTCATAACCTATTTCTTAGCTTTTATGTCAAATGATGATACATTTCGAGTCATGTTAGGCGGGCTTGTAGTTCATACAGATGTGAGATATAGATAAGCTGATTTGTTAGTGTAGTTTCATACTCTCACTTACACTCAAATTATACTACCCATATTTAGGTTTTTTATATTTTGATAAAAATTCCTAGAGACTTTTAAAATTACATTAGCACCCTTTGGGTTTAAAATTGATTTCACAAAACTCCATCTATTAAAATTTCATTCGAAAATTTATCATATAAAAAAAATTTAAAATTAAAATTTTAACATGGGCTCATCAAACTTCCAACACATCCAATATCGCATGTATCAGATGAAAAGTAAAGGGATTAAATTAGCCAGGTCATACCCTTAGTTTTCTTCGAGTTTATACATTATATAATACATGTTTAATGCCTAACAATGCGTGTATAATTTAATTAGTGATGTGGAGCTAGACGAATTATGCTGAAAAATTATTGTGGTACCGCAATATCGCATGTTTTATACCTCAAGTAATCATGAGGATTTGTATAATCAAAGTAGGATTTGATTTTCTCTAATTTCTGTAACAGTGTTCGTGTTTATCTTCTTTCCTATATTATGCATTTAAATATTAGTGAAAATTGTGCTTTAGCTTCATGTCAACATCTCTCCAACATGATTATTGTAGTAGGAATTCTTACCTTTTTTAGAAAAAGGGAAGGAGAGAGGGCCTATCTTTTCTATTGATTTTACATATGGTTAATTAGTGCTATTTTTTCTATTGCGTGTAAATATAATACGATGGTTAATGATGAGAGTTGGAGTCAGAAAGGTCGTGAAAGTGAAACCATAGGACAATTATTTTGTGGTACTGAAATATCGCTACGTTAAATATTTTGGCTACTAATCAAGATGATTGTTTGATCAACAACCATTTGGTCTCAGTAATACTCTTTTTTTTTGGTCAAAATTATACAATACTATTTAGGGTTGTGTTATTTACACATCATTTTACTTTCCACATACTCTCAATCTTTAGTCATTGAATTGAATGAATTAAAAAAATCAAAAGATAAAAAGTAACAAACGTGTGAAAAGTAAAAGGGGCTACGTGGATAGCACCACCCTATCGTTTATATAACTATAGCCGATTATTATTTGAGGTGATGAATAACAATAACAAAACATCGCCAGAGCTAAAGGAAGAAATACATGACCAGAAATATTCTTACAGATGACGTCAAGTTTTTCTTAGTAGCACTTGATTCACTAGCATGGCTAAGTTTTTGGATGAAGAACCATGTGGACTAGTAACTTCTTCTGCAAGCTTCTTCCACATCATGGCCTTATTTTTCATCTTCTTACCCTTCTGCCCATCCATTAACTCTTTGACAAGCCTCTCTACTTCATCCCTCTTTACATCATTACTAATTTCCAGGCCAATGTCCCATTCATTGCAACTATAGCGGCAGTCCATCTGCTGGTCGCCAAAGAATGGCCAACAGAGCATAGGCACTCCTGCAGTGAGGCTCTCCATGGTTGAATTCCAACCGCTGTGTGTTAAAAATCCTCCCACTGATGGGTGGTTCAGGACTTGCTCTTGTGGGCACCAACTCGCAATGAGACTTCTTTCTTTTGTTTCAGCCAAAAACTCAGCCGGCAAAAGCGCTGATTGGCCAATAACCAAATCAGGTCTAATTACCCAAAAGAAGGGAACCTTGCTGTTTGCAAGTCCCCAGCCAAACTCGACAAGATGTTCAGGTGTCGTAACTGTTATACTGCCAAAATTCACATACACAACTGAATTTGGCGCCTTAGTGTTTAGCCAGTCGAGGCATTCTGTTTCTTCTTTCCATAGACTATATCCAATATTCAAGGGGTGTTCTGGTATTTGATTGAGATGTAATTGAAGAGGGCCAATTGGATAAACAAGTGGAAGCATAGATGAGAGAGCCCCCAAAACATCTGGCTCCAAGGTATCAAAAGTATGAAGAACAACTGCAGAAGCTTTATGAGCTCTATCGGTTGATTCCATTATGAAGTTAAACATGATGTCGTCAGGATCTGAAGTTCGAAAAAAGGTTGGGAGCTCCTTTAAACGGATATCTTTCATTCCTGGAATCTAATCTATAACCTTTTCGCCATTTGTCAAACATATATCATCTACAACAACAACAACAACAAAGCTTTTTCCCACTAAGTGGGGTCGGCTATATGAATCCTAGAACGCCATTGCGCTCGGTTTTGTGTCATGTCCTCCGTTAGATCCAAGTACTCTAAGTCTTTTCTTAGGGTCTCTTCCAAAGTTTTTCTAGGTCTTCCTCTACCCCTTCGGCCCTGAACCTCTGTCCCGTGGTCACATCTTCGAACCGGAGCGTCAGTAGGCCTTCTTTGCACATGTCCAAACCACCGTAACTGATTTTCTCTCCTCTTTCCTTCAATTTCGGCTACTCCTACTTTATCTCGGATATCCTCATTCCTAATCTTATCCTTTCTCGTGTGCCTACACATCCAACGAAGCATCCTCATCTCTACTACACCTACGTGTTGATGCTTCACCGCCCAACATTCTATGCCATACAGCATTGCCGGCCTTATTGCCGTCCTATAAAATTTTCCATTGAGCTTCAGTGGCCTACGACGGTCACACAACACCGGATGCACTCTTCCACTTCATCCATCCAGCTTGTATTCTATGGGTGAGATCTCTATCAAATTCTTCGTTTTTTTGCAAGATAGATCCTAGGTAGCGAAAACGGTCGCTCTTTGGTATTTCCCGATCTCTGATCCTCACCCCTAACTCATTTTGGCCTCCGTTTGCACTGAACTTGCACTCCATATATTCTGTCTTTGATCGGCTTAGGCGAGGACCTTTAGATTCCAACACTTCTCTCCAAAGGTTAAGCTTCGCGTTTACCCCTTCCTGCGTTTCATCTATCAACACTGTATCGTTTGCGAAAAGCATACACCAAAGAATATCATCTTAAATATTAAGTTTGTGATCTTCGCTAGATTGCTTTGGTCATTAGTGTGGATAAGTATGTAAATGGATAGAGACTGGAAGCAAACACAAGATGTACGTGGTTCACCCAGATTGGCTATGTCCACGGAGTAAAAGAGTTCTCATTAATTGTGAAGGGTTTACATAGTATATAGGTTCAAGCTCTCCTTTAGTGAGTACAAGTGAATGATTTAGTACAAATGACATTAGGAAATATTGTGGAAGAATGATCTCGTAATCATGAAACTTTTAAGTACCGAAGTGTGGTATCGTCTTCACTTGCCTTATCTGTCTCATAGGTAGATGTGGCATCTTCTTTGGAAGTACTCTTCCTCCCTCCAGGGGTGGTATCTTTAACTGGTGGAGATGCACAAGGTAATGTATCAATTTCACTTGACGCTTACTTGTAGTTTCAGGCTTGGTCAAGCGCGATACAAACCATGTAGTAGGAGTCCCCCAAGTCGCCGAGCTAGGGGATCTGCTGAAAGAGGTGACAGACAAGGTAAGCAATCAGAGTTCCAAGCAATCAGTCCCAGATCAGAAGTTTTGATTTCGAGTTCCGGCTGATTGTTATCCTTCTCCTTATCTTGCAGGTAGCATGAAGGATAAAGAGAAGAAAAGGAGAAAAGGTGATATGAGATACTTTTTCTTTTGAAGAAGTAACTTTCCACAGGCTTATTCTTGAACTAGGCTGGAGGGTTTTCTTGTTTCCACCAGAGTATAAGGTCGACTGAAGAATTTGAGGGTCAAAACAAGTCCATCAAATCTAGAGTACGTTCGACCCTGCTGATATGGGATACTTTTGCTGTTGACAAAGTAGTGGATGTATCGGCACGTGTTCTGTTGTGCTTGTCTCCACATGCTTCCTTGTATCCTTCTCACTTGCCCTATTTGTTCATCAGGCAGATGTGGTATCTTCTCGAGAAGCATAAGATGTTGAAGATGAGTACTCGAGAGCAATGGGGTTCCAGGCAGTCAGTTCCGGACTGGAAGCTTGATTCCAAGTGCTGACTGATTGCTCTCTTTCTCCTTGTCTTGCAGGTAAGAACAAGGCCAAAGGAAAAGACAGGAAAAAAGCATGATATGGGATACTCTTGCTTTTAACCCTGATGATATGAGATATTCTTGCTCTAGTGTAGCTTGTTTGCAGAGGTATTCTCGGGGGGAAAGAAAGCTGAGTATTTCGAGAGGTTTCGTTGGGAGTGCCCTCTCAGATATGAGGAAGGGTTGAGCATTTTTGCAGGTCTGCCTGTTCGTTGAGGATGGAGGTCGACATAAATAAGAGTCTCCTTAACAAGGAGTAATACTATTCTTTTACCCTGCTTGGTCATAGCACGGTAGTGGGAGCTGCCAGCTTCACGTGTTTTAACTCTGTCAGAGCACTTTGAAAAAGTGGTCTGTGGTATCTGGAAAGCTGATGTTACGTGTGAAGATTACAGACAAGCTTTATCCAAGGAGATCTGGCTCTCGAAGTTGAGAAAGCGGTGTGAGGATTACAGACAAGCTTTATCCAAGGAGATCTGGCTCTCGAAGTTGAGAAAGCGGTGCCTCTTCGGTTTTCGAACAAGCAATCCTGTCGGGGATCTGTCTCTCGAGATTCGGAGAACGGTGCCTCTTCGATTTTTGAGAAAGCAATCCTGCTAGGAGTCTGGCTCTCGAGATTCGGAGAGCGGTGTCTCGTCGCTTTTTGAGAAAGTAATCGTGTTGGGAGTCTGGCTTTCGAGATTCGGAGGACGGTGCCTCTTCGATCTTGAAGCAAGCAATCTTGTTGGGAGTGTTTTCTCGAATGTGAGTAAAGGTTAGGCCTGTTTGCTAGTCTACCTTGCCACGGAGCACATAGGTTGACCCACAGGGACTTTCCAATTATCCAGCAATGGTCCTGTTCCTTTACCCTTGTGGGTAATAATATGGTAGCTAGACTTTCAAAATTTATGTGTCTAAACTTTGTTAGTGCTGTTTCTTTGCTATTCTTTTACCCTTCTTGGTCATAGCGATGTAATGGGAGCTGCAAGCTTCACGTGTCTAAACTTTGTCAGAGATTTTTGGCAAAGTTATCTGTGGTACCCGTGAGCTGATGTTGCGTGTGGAAAGTGAATGATTGAACAGTAACATTCACGTGCTTTCTACTTCACTAGAAATCTTCGACAGAATGCCCGTAATTTCCCCAAAGTTGAGTGTGTATGTGACAGGTGCTGACAAGGCTGAAAAAGCAGGTGCCTCTTCGATTTCTGAGATCGACCCTCGTGGTCTCTGAGCAGCCCAGCTTTTGAGAAAGCAAGCGCCTTTTTGATTTCTGCGATCGACCTTCGTGGTCTTTGAGCAGCCCAGCTTTTGAGAAAGCAAACGCCTATTCGATTCCTAAGATCGGCCCTCGTGGTCTCTGAGCAGCCCAGCTTTTGAGAAAGCAAACGCCTTTTCAATTTCTAAGCAGGCGCCTCTTCGACTTCTGAAGCTCCATCGAGTGTGGATTTTTATAGAGGCTGGTATTAAGTTCCAAAGCACACTTGAATCTCCACCAGTAGAAGCTCCCTTCTTGCATTTCTAAGATCTTGATTTGTCCGACTTCTTTTCTCTTCAACACCTTTGAAAATGTCTGGCCCCTCCGACCGTCGTTTTGACTTGAACCTTGTTGAAGAGGCAGCCACGCCTTCTCCAGACAACATATGGCGCCCATCCTTCGTATCCTCTACTGGTCCTCTTACCGTTGGGGATTCCGTGATGAAGAATGATATGATCGCTGTGGTGGTGGCCAGGAACCTTCTCACTCCAAAAAATAACAGACTACTTTCCAAACGGTCTGATGAGTTGGCTGTTAAGGATTCTGTGGCTCTCAGTGTTCAGTGTGCAGGTTCTGTGTCTAATATGGCCCAACGCCTATTTGCTCGAACCCGCCAAGTTGAATCATTGGCGACTGAAGTGATGAGTCTCAAACAGGAGATTAGAGGGCTCAAGCATGAGAATAAACAGTTGCACCGGCTCGCTCATGACTATGCTACAAACATGAAGAGGAAGCTTGACCAGCTGAAGGAATCTGATGGTCAGATTTTACATGATCATCAGAGGTTTGTGGGTTTGTTCCAAAGGCATTTATTGCCTTCGTCTTCTGGGGCTGTACCACGTAATGAAACTCCAAATGATCAACCTCCGATGCCTCCTCCTTCTAGGGTGCTGTCCAGTACTGAGGCTCCGAATGATCCCCCTCCGGTGCCTTCTCTTTCTGGGGCTCTGCCAACTGCTGAGACTTCTCCTAAGCAACATTTGTGAAGGCTCCCTCTTGTTTGTTTATTTTGACTCGTGTATATGTACATATTTGTAACTTCTTAGAGATATCAATAAATAAGCTTTGTTTCATTTCAACGTATTGTGTTAAATACACCAAAGCCTTCTTCACTAAGTTCTTTGAATTTTTCTTTTGTTGAAACTTGTATGTTGAAGCTTTGTGAGTGGAGCATGTAGGTTGAGGTAGTGTTCCCTTAATTTCCCGGGTGGGGAAAACTTCTCGATTGGAGACTTGAAAAATCCAAGTCACTGAGTCAGGTCGGCTATATGAATCTTAGAACGCCATTGTGCTCGATCCTGTGTCATGTCCTCCGTTAGATCCAAGTACTATAAGTCTTTTCTTAGAGTCTCTTCCAAAGTTTTCCTAGGTCTTCCTCTACCCCTTCGGCCCTGAACCTCTGTGCCGTAGTCGCATCTTCTAATCGAAGTGTCAGTAGGCCTTCTTTGCACATGTCCAAACCACCGTAACCGATTTTCTCTCAGTTTTCCTTCAATTTCGGCTACTCCTACTTTACCTCGGATATCCTCATTCCTAATCTTATCATTTCTCGTGTGCCCACACATCCAACGAAGCATCCTCATCTCCGCTACACCCATTTTGTGTACGTGTTAGTGCTTCATCGCCCAACATTCTGTGCCATACAGCATCGCCGGCCTTATTGCCGTCCTATAAAATTTTCCTTTAAGCTTCAGTGGCATACGACGATCACACAACACACCGGATGCACTCTTCCACTTCATCCATCCAGCTTGTATTCTATGGTTGAGATCTCCATCTAATTCTCCATTCTTTTGTAAGATAGATCATAGGTAGCGAAAACGGTCGCTCTTTGGTATTTCTTGATCTCCGATCCTCACCCCTAACTCATTTTGGCCTCCATTTGCACTGAACTTGCACTCCATATATTCTGTCTTTGATCGGCTTAGGCGAAGACCTTTAGATTCTAACACTTCTCTCCAAAGGTTAAGCTTCGCATTTACACCTTCCTGAGTTTCATCTATCAACACTATATCGTCTGCGAAAAGCATACACCAAGGAATATCATCTTGAATATGTCCTGTTAACTCATCCATTACCAACGCAAAAAGGTAAGGACTTAAGGATGAGCCTTGATGTAATCCTACAGTTATGAGGAAGCTTTCGGTTTGTCCTTCATGAGTTCTTACGGCAGTCTTTGCTCCTTCATACATATCCTTTATAGCTTAGATATATGCTACTCGTACTCATTTCTTCTCTAAAATCCTTCAAAGAATGTCTCTTGGGACCCTATCATACGCTTTTTCCAAATCTATAAAGACCATGTGTAAATCCTTTTTCCCATCTCTATATCTTTCCATCAATCTTCGTAAGAGATAGATTGCCTCCATGGTTGAGCGCCTTGGCATGAACCCGAATTGGTTGTCCGAAACCCGTGTCTCTTGCCTCAATCTATGCTCAATGACTCTCTCCCAGAGCTTCATTGTATGACTCATTAGCTTAATACCCCTATAGTTCATGCAATTTTGTACGTCGCCCTTTGTACGTCGCCCTTATTTTTGTAAATAGGCACCAAGGTGCTCTTTCGCCACTCGTTTGGCATCTTCTTCGTTTTCAAAATCCTATTGAAAAGGTCAGTGAGCCATGCTATACCTGTCTCTCCCAAGGCTTTCCACACTTCAATCGGTATATCATCTGGGCCCACTGCTTTTCTATGCTTCATCTTCTTCAAAGCTACAACCACTTCTTCCTTCCTGATTCGACGATAAAAGGAGTAGTTTCTACACTCTTCTGAGTTACTCAACTCCCCTAAAGGAGTACTCCTTTCATGTCATTCATTGAAAAGATTATGAAAATAACCTCTCCATCTGTCTTTGACCGCGTTCTCTGTAGCAAGAACCTTTCCATCTTCATCCTTGAAGCACCTCACTTGGTTTAGGTCCCTTGTCTTCTTTTCCCTTGCTCTAGCTAGTTTATAGATATCCAACTCTCATTCTTTGGTATCTAGTCGCTTATACATATCGTCATAAGCTGCTAACTTAGCTTCTCTCACAGCTTTCTTCGCCTCTTGCTTCGCTCTTCTATACCTTTCATCATTTTCATCGGTCCTATCCTTGTATAAGGTTTTACAACATTCCTTCTTAGCCTTCACCTTTGTTTGTACCTCCTCATTCCACCACCAAGATTCCTTTTGGTGTGGAGCAAAGCCCTTGGACTCTCCTAATACCTCTTTTGCTACTTTTCGGATTTAGCTAGCCATGGAATCCCACATTTGGCTAACTTCCCCCTCTCTATCCCACACACTGGGTGATTACTTGCTCTTTGAAAATGACTTGTTTTTCTCCTTTTAGATTCCACCATCTAGTCTTTGGGCACTTCCAAGTCTTGTTCTTTTTTCTCACTCTTTTGATATGTACATCCATCACCAACAAGCGATGTTGATTAGCCAAGCTCTCCCCCAGTATAACTTTGCAATCCTTACAAGTTATACGATCCCCTTTCCTCATTAGAAGAAAATCTATTTGTGTTTTTGACGACCCACTCTTGTAGGTGATCACATGTTCTTCTCTCTTCTTAAAGAAGGTGTTGGCTAAGAAGAGATCATATGCCATTGCAAAATCCAAGATAGCTTCCCCATCCTCATTTCTTTCCCCAAAACCATGGCCACCATGAAAACCTCCATAGTTGCCTGTCTCCCTGCCCACGTGTCCATTTAAATCTCCTCCTATAAATAACTTCTCCGTCTGGGCAATTCCTTGCACCAAGTCTCCAAGGTCTTCCCAAAATTTCTCCTTCGAACTCGTATCCAACCCTACTTGAGGTGCGTACACACTAATCACATTGATGAGTTTTTGTCCTATTACAATCTTGATTGCCATGATTCTATCTCCTACCCTCTTGACATCTACAACATCTTGTGTCAAGGTCTTGTCCACAATGATGCCAACACCGTTTCTCGTTCTATTTGTGCCCGAATACCAAAGCTTAAACCCTGAGTTTTCTAGATCCTTTGCCTTAAGACCAACCCACTTAGTTTCTTGTAGGCACATAATATTTATCCTTCTCCTCACCATAACTTCCACTACTTCCATAGATTTTCCCGTTAAGGTTCCTATATTCCACGTTCCTAAACGCATTCTACCCTCTTGAACTCTACCCTTCTGTCCTAGCTTCTTCATCATCCTCCGTCTAATAGGATCAAAGTACTTCTTTTGTGTGTCCTGTGTAAAGTTGATAGGAGCATATGCTCCCAAACAACTTTGAGTGGAGTCGTTCGAAAAGAAGTTTCTATGGCCCCCTTGCTCATTTAACACTGCATCCGGTGCCGATGGAGATACAGCGACCCTTGCTCACTTATCACTGTGCTCGAGGCATTCTGTTTCTTCTTTCCATAGACTATATCCAATATTCAAGGGGTGTTCTAGTATTTGATTGAGATGTAATTGAAGAGGGCCAATTGGATAAACAAGTGGAAGCATAGATGAGAGAGCCCCCAAAACATCTGGCTCCAAGGCATCAAAAGTATGAAGAACAACTGCAGAAGCTTTATGAGCTCTATCGGTTGATTCCATTATGAAGTTAAACATGATGTCGTCAGGATCTGAAGTTCGAAAAAAGGTTGGGAGCTCCTTTAAACGGATATCTTTCATTCCTGGAATCCAATCTATAACCTTTTCCAAATAGCCATTTGTCAAACTGATATCATCTACAACACGAAAAAATTCATTTACATGCTTAGAAATAAGCAAATAAGAGTTAAAAGACAAATTAAGCAATTGTTTGAAAGTTGTATTTATGTCACCTTTGAGTTGTGCAAGTCCCTTTTCAACCAAAGCACGAAATTGTATACAGCCCATAAAGCTGCATGCAGCAATAGTGTAGAACAGCACTATAGGGACTTCAATCTCTTCAGCGGCTGTGATTGTGAACGGCGACATGAAACCATCTGAAACTATGCAAGTTACTGGAGGATTAGTGGATGTTGATATGGCATCACCGTTGAGTTTCATGAGTAGTTCACGGAAGGGAGCCAAGAAATTTTGTTTTCTGATTGAATCACAAAGCAATGGGACATCTTGGGTGGTATCTGCATCTGAATCTGGAAGGCCATCTGGGATGGCTTTGAATTGGAAATCAGGCAAGCCATCAAGGGAGCTGGGGCCCGAGGATTTTAGAAAGCGCCTGTGGTTGTACTTGGAGTTGACGAAGGTAATATGAAAGCCTCTATGGTGGAGGAGCTTTGCAAATTTAAGCATTGCCTTGATATGGCTTTGACCCGGAAGGGGAATGCAAACAGCATGAGGTTTGTTGTTAGCTGCTGCCTTGGAATCCGTCTTAGAATGTGCTTGCACTGAGCTAGGCACTAACTAGCTCAGGGCAGGGTGGGTGGGAGGGAGGGAGGATATAGCTAAGCAGTGGTAAGGAAATCACAAGGTCGTTATATATTCATTAAGAATGAGATAAAACCAAGATTATGAGATGAGGTACTAGTGTAGTGTGTCGTTGGAAGGGAGTGACTGAAATAAAACCAAGAGGACTAGAGGAGAGGAGAGGATGAGATTCTGGATGTAGGGCCTATCATTCAGCGAATGGCTCTCGTTTAAAGCTTTGTTTTGTGTCCCCCTCTCTCTACTCTATTTCCTTCTCCTCATCTCTTCTCTCTTCTCTATCTACTCACGCCAGATCCTCTCTATTTCGATCCATTGCCTTTGTTGTTATTGTCTTCTCTTTATTTTGTAGCCATTAGATAAACAATTACAGTAAAATCAACAGTCAAGATTAACAAGGGTGTGCAAAAAGTAAAAAAGAGAGTTGAAATCACTGCCCTTGTAATTCCTAAAAATACACAAGTCGCCAACACCTCCTCTAACAGAAGCGCAAACGCTTTAAAAGTACAAGATGAGAATGCATCAGTGTTGGAGTTTCTATTATTTCTGTTATTTTTTTATATTTATTTCTGAATTGTTCACCAACAATCAGCAATCACAACTGTTACTGTTGGAGCTTTTCCGGCTTTCTAGCATAAAATGCTTGTACATTGTTCCATTAGCAAATACAAGATGAGACTCAAATACCTTGACTAGTAATGAGGAAACAAAGTCACTAACAAATTGTCATGTCATGCTTGCATAACTCATTAAATCATACTGTTTGGTCAAATCAGCTAAACGGTAGAGGTGCATGCGACAGAATTTTAAGCTAAGGAGCAGACTGGGATGGTCAGGTAGGTGACAATCTCCTCTCGTATGAAAATTGCAAGTAGAAACAGAAAAAAATGCATAGCAATATCGACATGGGCAAATCAAATGATAGTATAGTTAATAATGATTGAGTTAGCCAATAAACGGAAAGAAATCAGATACGATTTAATTATCTTAACTTCATTGGCAGAAATCTAGGACTATCATCGACAAAGATGCATTTTCGTAAGAATATCCAAGGCAAGGAGCATATCAGCTAATGTTGACATCAATTGTCAATAAAGTAATAGAGTGAGGTAGTATTATCTTAATTATGACTAGGAACTGCGAACTAGAAAGGAGGACTGCCTAAAGAGCAGCTGAGCGATGGCATTTGGCCACAAACTGGAGTCTGGAGGAGTTGTGAAATGCCTGGTCAGTGGCATCCCAAAATTGGTTTATTATGTGAATTCAGCTACTTTAATTGGTTTACGAGGGATTTCTTCTTATTAGCATGATCTAAAATTATTCATTTACTTCAAATATTTGAATCACAAGGCAATGGGACATCTTGGGTGGCATCTTCATCTGAATGTGGAAGGCCGGCTGGGATGGCTGCAAACTGGAAATCAGGTGAGCCATCAAGGGAATTGGGGCCCAGAGATTTTAGAAAGCGCTTGTGGTTGTACTCAGTGTTGACAAAGGTAATCTGAAAACCTCTATGGTGGAGGAGCTTTGAAAATTTAAGCATTGCCTTGATATGGCCTTGAGCTGGAGCCGGAATGCAAACAGCATGAGGCTTAGTCGCTACTGCTGTGGGATCCATTTGAGGTCTTGTGTTTGCCTTGCATTGCTTGCACAAATGCAGACTGTTTATAGTGCTACTGAGCTACTTTTCTCCTCAGCTACTTTTCTACTGAGCTACCTTTCTACATGTCTTGTGATTTCCTGAAGTATAGGAGGTCAAAAAAAAAGAGGCGTAGCTGTTAGGCACATTGAACCTAGGAGATGAAGGAGCAAAAGTTGAAATACGGACCTTTCCCTCCCTGTCTGTTATTTCTTGCTTGTCAAGTTAAATCTGATTGATCATTATAATTAATATAAATTAAGGAAAGTTTTCCAGGATTTGTAGGTTACTCATGAAAATAGTTGTCTCTTTTAATCTTTTTTTTGGGAGATTTGTAGGCATACCTTTTTTGCATGAGTAGCCTTCAATTTGGACAAAATAAGGAATTTGTCATCCATTTCTTCGTTTTAAATGCCTTCAATATAGTGAATAATCATACCCAAGCCAATCCTCTCTATAATGTTGTTATTTTAGTCCCTACTGCAATGGCCGTAGCTAGTTTTATTGAGACAATGTCCTGTCTTACTTCTCTCTCTTTTCTGTTTTATTTTTTTCAGTCTGCTTGTATATCTCATGTATGTGTATTTGGTAGTTGTTATGACCAACAATAAGAACACCCGCAAAAGTTTTTATTATCATTAATAATATCCTTATATATATGCATAACATTTACTGGATCGATCCCATTTTGCACCTTCAGGGTAACATGTCATAATTTGATTCCTCTCTTGAATTATCAAAATACATATGGTACCGTACCCATCAATTAGGTTTTTTATTTGATAAGATAAAGTCATAACCTATTTCTTAGCTTTTATGTCAAATGATGATACATTTCGAGTCATGTTAGGCGGGCTTGTAGTTCATACAGATTTGAGATATAGATAAGCTAATTTGTTAGTGCAGTTTCATACCCTCACTTACACTCAAATTATACCACCCATATTTAGGTTTTTTATATTTTGATAAAAATTCCTAGAGACTTTTAAAATTACATTAGCACCCCTTGGGTTTAAAATTGATTTCACAAAACTCCATCCGTTAAAATTTCATTCGAAAATTTATCATATAAAAAAATTAAAATTAAAATTTTACCTTTAGAGGTAATTACAAACCCCTTGAAATAACCCCATCAAATTACTATTTTTCACATAATCGTCATGAGGTTTAAACCATTACAATATATAAACAGATTATGACCTTACAAAATTGAAGGAGCCAAACCATGAGTTGCCATGAGCAGCATATTCTTCAAGAGTGAGAAAAGAAAAAGAATCAAGAAATAGGAGATGTGAAAGAGTAATAGATCTCTCAAATATGTCAAAAGAGCATATTTTAGATGTTCGATTATTGCACGCTTTTGAGTATTATTTCTCTCGTTATTTTTATTGTTAAGTATGACATGGGCTCATCAAACTTCCAACACATCCAATATCGCATGTATCGGATGAAAAGTAAAGGGATTAAATTAGTCAGGTCATCCCCTTAATTTTCCCAGTACACATGTCAAAGGGTGCAATTCCAACCTCTCCAAATAACACGTTTCTTTGGATCCAGGGCGCTTGCTGATCGAGGTGAAGAAGTTTAGCAGAATTTCAGATACGGATCAAGGGCGGCCAAAATAGGAGATTAAAGAAAGTTTCAAGAAAAGAAGCTTAGCAGTCAAACAAATTAACGTAAGGGGAGACGAGGAATATTCAAAGTAGGAATTTATTTTCTATAATTTGCTTTAACCCTGTTTGTGTTTTCCTTCTTTTCAATGTTGTGCATTTAAATATTAATGAATACTTCATGTTGCTTTTTCTTCGAGTTTATCGTCCAGGTCTTATTGTGAAACAAAAAGGTTCGAGCTCAGAAAAGAAAGAAAAGAAGTCAAGTTCAATGGGCCGAGGGGGCACCAGAAAAGGGGATAGAAGAAGCACCCTGAGAGGGAAGGGAAGGATGATATATTCTATAATCAGTAGCGAAGCCAGGAATTGACTGGGGGAGGGGAGAAGTTAAAATATTGCAAGGTTAAAAAAAATAGCAACAATCAAATCTTTACACCCTTAATCTTTGAAGGATGATTTAAGCATTGTTTTTTGTAGTATCGTTCCATTATGTAACTGTAAAATGAAAAGGAAAAAAAATTCTTACACTCTTAATCCTAGAGTAGACTATACTAATATGCATAATAATTAATCCAACCAACAATTCAATTAAACAATACCAATAAGCATACAAATTATTCAATAAATAAATATTCAATTCAACTAATTGTATGAAATAATCAAGAATTTTAATTTTAATTTTCACCCAAAAAATACATTTTAATCAATAATCATAGAATCAGATTAATAATCAATAATCAATAACCAATAACCATATTAGTGCATTACCATAAAATTCTATACCTATCAAACAAAATTTGTATTAAATAATTAGTTAGGGATTGTAAATTTAATAATTAAAAAAATTTACCTTTGAAGGCTGAAGCCGGCGGCTCAGGCGCTCAGCGGCTAGAGAAGTGGAGGAGAGTGGCTGGAAGATTGACAATCCAAATTGGAATTAAAAAATATTTTTTATGTTGCTGATGGTACTTTGGGTTGCTGACATGCTGTGCTCTCTGGCAGAAAGGTTGACAAAACAAAAGGGGGAAGGACACGGCAGCACTGAGGTCCGAGTGGTGAGAAGGATTGAGAGTGAAATGGGAACACGCGGTCCCCCAAGATCTATATTTTTTATTTTGAAAAGTACGAAACTACAGGCGCTATTTTAATTATTTTTTTAATTTTTTTTACCAGAATCAAAACGACGTCGTTTCGGTCTGGATGTTTAAAAAAAATATATTCAAACTCAGTCTGCTGCTGCGCGCAGCAAACCCAGACATCACCCAGTCCTGTTTTTCGGCGAGGGGAGTGGCGGCCGTTACTCCTTACCCTCACGTGGCTTCGCCACTGTCTATAATACATGTTTAATGCCTAACAATGCGTGTATAATTTAATTAGTGACGAGAAGCTGGACGAATTATGCTGAAAAATTATTGTATGGTACCGCAATGTCGCATGTTTTATACCTCAAGTAATGATGACGATTTGTTTAATCAAAGTAGGATTTTATTTCTCTAATTTCTGTCACAGTGTTCGTGTTTATCTTCTTTCCTATATTGTGCATTTAAATATTAATGAAAATTGTGGTTTCGTTTCATGTCAACATCTCTCCAACATGATTATTGTAGTAGGAATTGTTAGTTTTTTTAAGAAAAAGGGAGAGAAAGAGGGCCTATCTTTTCTATTGATTTTACATATAATATAATACATATGGTTAATTAGTGCTATTTTTTCTATTGCGTGTAAATATAATACGATTGTTGATGATGAGAGTTGGAGTCAGAAATATCGTGAAAGTGAAATTATAGGACAAATTAATTTGTGGTACTGAAATATCGCTACGTTAAATATTTTGGCCAGTGATCAAGAGGATTGTTTGATCAACAACCATTTGGTGTCTCAGTAATACTCTTTATTTTTTTCGTCAAAATTATATAATACTATTTAGGGTTGTGTTATTTACACATCATTTTTACTTTCCACACATTCGTCCCAATCTTTAGTCATTGAATCAAATGAATTAAAAAAATCAAAAGATAAAAATTAACAAACAACATGTGCAAAGTAAAAGGGGTTGCGTGGATAGCACCACCCTACCGTTTATATAGCTATAGCCGATTATTATTTGAGGCGATGAATAACAATAACAAAACATCGCTAGAGCTAAAGGAAGAAATACATGACCAGAAATATTCTTACGGATGACGTCTAGATTTTTCTTAGTAGCACTTGATTCACTAACATGTTTAAGTTTTTGGATGAAGAACCATGTGGTTCAGTAGCTTCTTCTGCAAGCTTCTTCCACATCAGGACCTTATTTTTCATTTTCTTACCTTTCTCTCCCTCGATTAACTCGTTGACAAGCTTCTCTACCTCATCCCTCTTCACATCATTACTAATCTCCATGCCAATGCCCCATTCATTGCAACTATAGCGGCAGTCCATCTGCTGGTCGCCAAAGAATGGCCAACAGAGCATAGGCACTCCTGCAGTGAGGCTCTCCATGGTTGAATTCCAACCGCTGTGTGTTAAAAATCCTCCCACTGATGGGTGGTTCAGGACTTGCTCTTGTGGGCACCAACTCGCAATGAGACTTCTTTCTTTTGTTTCAGCCAAAAACTCAGCCGGCAAAAGCGCTGATTGGCCAATAACCAAATCAGGTCTAATTACCCAAAAGAAGGGAACCTTGCTGTTTGCAAGTCCCCAGCCAAACTCGACAAGATGTTCAGGTGTCGTAACTGTTATACTGCCAAAATTCACATACACAACTGAATTTGGCGCCTTAGTGTTTAGCCAGTCGAGGCATTCTGTTTCTTCTTTCCATAGACTATATCCAATATTCAAGGGGTGTTCTGGTATTTGATTGAGATGTAATTGAAGAGGGCCAATTGGATAAACAAGTGGAAGCATAGATGAGAGAGCCCCCAAAACATCTGGCTCCAAGGTATCAAAAGTATGAAGAACAACTGCAGAAGCTTTATGAGCTCTATCGGTTGATTCCATTATGAAGTTAAACATGATGTCGTCAGGATCTGAAGTTCGAAAAAAGGTTGGGAGCTCCTTTAAACGGATATCTTTCATTCCTGGAATCCAATCTATAACCTTTTCCAAATAGCCATTTGTCAAACTGATATCATCTACAACACGAAAAAATTCATTTACATGCTTAGAAATAAGCAAATAAGAGTTAAAAGACAAATTAAGCAATTGTTTGAAAAGTTGTTTTTATGTCACCTTTGAGTGGTGCAAGTCCCTTTTCAACCAAAGCACGAAATTGTATACAGCCCATAAAGCTGCATGCAGCAATAGTGTAGAACAGCACTATAGGGACTTCAATCTCTTCAGCGGCTGTGATTGTGAACGGCGACATGAAACCATCTGAAACTATGCAAGTTACTGGAGGATTAGTGGATGTTGATATGGCATCACCGTTGAGTTTCATGAGTAGTTCACGGAAGGGAGCCAAGAAATTTTGTTTTCTGATTGAATCACAAAGCAATGGGACATCTTGGGTGGTATCTGCATCTGAATCTGGAAGGCCGTCTGGGATGGCTTTGAATTGGAAATCAGGCAAGCCATCAAGGGAGTTGGGGCCCGAGGATTTTAGAAAGCGTTTGTGGTTGAACTCCGAGTTGACAAATGTAATATGAAAGCCTCTATGGTGGAGTAGCTTTGAAAATTTAAGCATTGCCTTTATATGGCTTTGAGCTGGCACTGGAATACAAACAGCATGAGGCTTAGTAGCTACTGCTGTGGCACCCATTTAGATTATATGTTTGCATTGCAGTGCATGCTCAAACGCAGACATTTATAGTGCTACTGAGCTACTTTTCAACATCTACCGTTCTGGCTTCCTTATGGAGAAAAATTTTAATTGTGACGGAAGCACGGATGGTAAATCACGTGTTCTTATGTAAGTGGTGGAAAATTTTATTTTTTAAGTTATTAACTTTCTGACACACAAATCCTACTATTTATATAATGACACGTGATGTACCACTTCGTGTGCCGATCACACTGAAAAATCTATCCTTCCTGTGCAACAGGTTAAGTAAATTTAGAGAGATTTCAAAGAAAATAGGCAGGGTCATTTTACGGATTGACTTAATAGTAGATGTGGCCGCCAACAAATACCCGTGCAACGAAAAAATCAATCGAGCAAGAGAAATGCTTTACGGCTTCACGGCTTTTCCCCTTGTTCAATAGAGAAAGAGACATGCTTTACGGTAGTGTAAGGATTAGGAAATCTATAGGGAAGATGCTATACAATAATCTTGTTGGTCATTTACCATTAAAATCAAGGGGGGTCCCTTCACTTTGTTTTATATTGCTGAAATATTACTTTACCATCTCAATTTTCTTTGGTTATATGCACTAGTTCTTCCATTCTTGTTGATAGTGCTGGAGTTGTTATCTAAATTTCTATAAAAATTGGATGTTGTTTTGTATCTTTGACTAATTAATTATAGATCGTAAAATCATGGTAGGAGAAATCATATATATCGTAAAATCATATAATAATTTCACACCGGCGACACCATGATCTTATTTCTTTGTAATTATAGATCGTAAAATTGCAAGATTTTGAAGGAATTCAAAAATGAGGGAGAAAAAAACCAAATTAGAAGGTCGTGCCTTATCTTCCTCACAAAATCAATCGCACAAAAACCTTAGCTTTTGATGGAATTTCAAAACCAAACAAATCTCTAAGATGAATTTGTCATGTAAACATGTTTAACACAGATTTCTCAATTATTAACACTACTCTTTCTCAATTATTAAAAACATAAAGATCAAAGTTAATTGGGTGTATAATTATATACCTCATTGTGTCAAGTAAGCAACCAACTTCTGCCTCCAAAGACCCAAAATTCTGAAAATTCCAAAAAATTTAATTTAAAAAAAAAATCCATATATTGAGGTTTTTTGTAATTTCATAAAAAAAAACCTTGAGATTTTCAAAATTACAATAACACTCCATGAGTATAAAATTGATTTCACAAAACTCCATTTACTAAAATTTCATCCGAAAACTTGTCATATCATAAAAAAAAATTATGAGATTACACGGACACGCCTTGAAATAATCCCATCAAATTTATTACTTTTTCACATAATCGTCCTGAGGTTTTAACCGCTACCATATATAAATACATTATGACCTTACAAATTTGAACGAGCCAAACCTCTGAGTTGCCATGAGCACTATGTTCACCAAGAGAGAGAGAAAAAAAAGAATCAAGAAATAGGAGGTGTAAAAGAGTAATAGGCCTCTCAAGTATGTCAAGTTGCTATATCAATTGAGAGCATATTTTGGATGTTCCATTGTTACACACTTTTGAGTTTTATTTCTATCTCTTGTTATTTCTATTGTTAAGTATTATTTCTATCTCTTGTTATTTCTATTGTTAAATATGTCATGGGCTCATCAAAATTCCAACACATCCAATACCGCATGTATCAGATGAAAAGTAAAGGGAGTAAAAAGAGCCTTGTCCACATTAAATAGCCAGGTCATCCACTTTATACCCATTGATTATGGGTAACCGCGGTCACCCGCTCATTTAAATTAACGGTTACGGTTATGGGTAACCGTTTAGATAAATAAACGGTTATGGGTATAACCGTTTACTCCCGAAATTTAAATAAGCGGTTATTGGTATTAACCACGGTTATAAACAGGTAACCCTTCATCCATTTATTTTATATATGTAAAACTAACACAAACCATGTTCTTGATCCAATAATACTTAGCACCCAATAAATTAGCAAGGAATTCATCAGTCATTCTCTCAATAACACTGCTACAGGAATGATGATTCTTATTATCAAAGAATTGGCCAAATTAATTTAAATTCCTTGCGGGTAACTGTGAAATTGACAAAAATGCTTTGACATAAATGTCTTCTAAACAATTTTTGTAACCCAATAATACTTAGCAAATATTATATTTACCTTCATTGGTAACAGTTAAAAATATCGTCCGTAAACTATTATTTCAATTATTGGAATGGTATAAGGACTTAAAAAATTAAAATATGGAAATGTATGATGAATGTACCTATAACGGTGTTTAATTGTAAAAAAAAAAAATTATGACAATTTTTTTTTAATTTTCAAGTTGTTAAAAAACATGTAGACGGGTGAAAAATGGGTAATGGTAAAAAAAAAAATAAACGGGTTAAAAAGGATAAATGGGTAAACGGGTATTAAACGGTTACGGTTAAATGAGTATGCGGTTATGGGTATGGTTAGCTGTTTATAAACGGTTATGGGTATGAGTATAACCGTTTAGGCAATTACCAAACGGGTAAACGATTATGGGTAAATAACCGCAGTTACCCGTCCGCCATAACCGTTGCCCATCCCTCGTGCAGTTCTAATCTCTCCAAATAATACGTTTCTTTGGATCGAGCCATCTAGGGTGCTTGCTGACTGAGGTGAAGAAGCTTAATTAGCAGAACTGTAGATAAGCATCGAGGGCAGCCAAAATAGGAGATTAAGGAAATTTTCAAGGAAAGAAGATTACACTATCTTCAAAGGAAATGTCAAATTATAAAAGTCAAATTACAATTGATGACTGCTATGACAATTTGAAGTCTTATGTCAAATTTTGTATTTCTCTAATAGAATTGTCAAATATTATTTTATTATTTAAATAGAATTTTAAATGCTTGTAATTATTAAAAAATTTCAAAATTTTTATTGGTTCAAATGTTAGTGGAATAAGAGACCCACGATTAAAATAAATTAAAAATAAATTTGACATCGATGTCATATTTGATTACAAATCACAAAGCCTCAACTCCAGTCAGCAAATAACACTTTGGTTAGAGAGATTTTTTATGTCAAATATGCACAATGACATTGCACCTAGGATTTGACATTTCCATTGAAAATGTTCTTAGCATTCAAACAAATTAAGGTAAGGGAGACGAGGAATCAAAATATGATTTGATTTCCTCTAAGAGGAATGCTGGCTACATTCTTCACTTGCCTTCCCCTATTTGTCTTTCCCACTCAATGGATGCCATGTGAATTTATCTTACAGTCAAATCTATGTATTAATTTTGTCTAAAATTTCTTTCTTCTCTTTTCACTAATGCCCCTAATTAAATCTCATATGTCAACTAATGAATACTTATGAATACTTATGTCTTCTTATGACAAATTTGCTTTAATCCTGTTTGTGTCACATCCCAACCTGGGCCCCACCACATCCCGGGCTCGACTTCATTGTAGCACGATATTGTTCACTTTGGGCCTCAACCACGCCCTCACGGTATTGTTTCTGAGAACTCACACGAGAACTTCCCAGTGGGTCACCCATCCTAGGATTGCTCTTGCGTGAACTCGCTTAACTTCGGAGTTTTTACAAAACCCGAAGCCAGTGAGCTCCCAAAAAGCCGCGTGCTAGGTAGAGATGGGAATATACATATAAGGCTTACATGATCCACTCTCTTGGGCAATGTGGGATGTTACAGTTTATGTTTTCTTCTTTTCGATGTTATGCATTTAAATACTAATGAATACTTATGGCTTCTTATGCCATGTTGCTTTTTTTTTCTTCAAGTTGATACACAATATAATACATGTTTAATGCCTAATAATGCATGTATAATTTAATGACTGATGAGGAGATAGAAGAATTACGTTGAAAAATTATTGTATGGTACTGCAATATTACATGTTTAATATAGCTAGAGTCGATTATTAATTAAGGCAATGAACAACAATGACAAAGCATTGACAGGGCCAAAAGAATACATGACTAGAAATATTCTTACGGATGACGTCTAGTTTTTCTTAGTAGCACTTGATTAACTAGCATGTCTAAGTTTTTGGATGAAGAACCATGTGGACCAGTAGCTTCTTTTGCAAGCTTCTTCCACACCATGACCTTATTTTTCATCTTCTTACCCTTTTCCCCATCCATTAACTCTGTGACAAGCCTCTCTACTTCATCCCTCTTCACATCATTACTAATTTCCATGCCAATGCCCCATTCATTGCAACTATAGAGGCAGTGTTAGGATTTTGAGGGGATTTCTAGTAGCTAATAGTGGTTATAAAGCAATTGTGTTTGTGCCAGATGTCATCATCTAAGTGATGAAACTGTAATACTTGTAATAAAGTTATTAGTATAGCTATAATTAGGTAAAAGTAGTTGGGAAAGTTGCTTTATAGTTGGTTTTGTAAGAAACAGAAAACAGTTTATGAAATAATATCCAAGTTCTTTTGTCATTCTCTCTCTTCGAGTCCTCTCATGGCCTCTCTAGGTTAAGGTTGATCAAGGGATCTATCATTGGTATCAAGCCAGTACTGATTTCTCCATCCCTTCTTTGCTGTCGTATGACTCGTGCATCAACAAAGAAAGCTATGGAATCGCAAAATCATCTTACTGTGATAAACAACACTCTCAATACACTGCTCCAAAGGTTCGATGCCATGGAAGGGCGTCAAGATTCTTCAGATGCTCGAATTGAGAAGGTTCATCGCAATTTTCTAGACAAATGTGAAATGGGTTGCCCAAGAGATTCATCAGATGCAACTTACTCTGACCCTATTCTGCGTGATGATTCAAGAACCCAGAATCTCAACCGTCATGATTCAGGATTTCAACCAATACCACCTCTGGTAAAATTGGATTTTCCTTGCTTCCGGAAGAGGACGATCCTTTTGGATGGATTTACAAGACGGAGCATTAATTTGATTACTTTGATATCCCAGCAGACAAGAAAGTTCGTATGACTTCATTTCATATGGAAAATGAAGCCCTTCAATGGTTTCAATGGG